CTCTCCCGCTCTCTTTCCATCTCTCCCCCTCGCTCTCTCCCACTCTCGCTCTCTCCCACTCTCTTTCGTTCCTGCTCTCTCTCTCCTTTCCCTCGCTCCCTCTATTCCCGTCTCTCTCTCCCCGTCTCTCGTTCCTTCTTGCTCTACCCTTCTCTCTGAATTGTGCATATGCCAACTCCTAATAGTTTATTCAAATCAAATGGGATCCAAACTCATGTTAAAACTTGACTCTGAAACTCCCCTGATGACCCCATATGAACTGCAGTTTTAACCGTCTCCTCTTCCCCTCTGGCCCCCGCTAGGAGCTCCAGGGGTACAGTGTGTGTCGGTGGCGCGTGGCGGTGGTGGGTCTGGGGGTGCTGTGTACGGGGGGCTTCCTCCTGCTGCTGCTCTACTGGATGCCAGAGTGGTGTGTGAAGTCCACCTGCACCCGGACCACCATCAGAGAGGCCGAAGTGGTGCTGCTCCAATCCACCGTAAGCCAATGTCCTCCTCACGATGGCGGCAACCAAACTGAATATTTTCGTAACACTTAATTTTAAAGTAGACGTATCAGCCACCAATTTGTAGTTCATAAGTGTATTTATAAGTATCTAAAAAATGCATGTATTTCTTATTAGGCCTTAATGAAGTGTTTTCTTATTCAAACATAAGTAATTTGTTACTGGCCAATCCTTAATAACCACACCTCTCCACACCCATGAGCAAAAGTATATAAGGATTTCCTGACACTATGGACTTCTGTAGGTTCATGAAATAAAAATTGAATTATATAATGTAGGCCATACAGCCAACATTCAACAAAATATTTGACATAAACAATTAGCAACAAAACTTCCATGGTGATTACAATGGCCACTTTCAGAACACACGTCACCGTTAATCATATCAATGTTGTCACATTAATGTTCCTTCCTACTGTAGGATATGAGAGAAGTTGACTTATTAAGGTGTCAATCTGACTTTTTGCACCACCTGTACAAACACATATAATGCATCAAAATCAAACTCACCCTCACTGAATCATAGGCTCTTCACATACTAAGGAAATTGTTTAGCTTCACTGTGCAAATATGTGAATACCAGAGAACCTGTCACCGCTGATGGTGTGTGTGTGTCTCAGGATGAGTTTAAGCGCTGGTTCCTGGCCAAGGTGCGTGTGATGCAGGCCCCCGGAAGGAACCCCTTTGACAGCCTGGAGACCCAGACCACTCCCCCCATGGCCAATGGACACTCCCCCACCACTCGGACGGCTACACCCATGATTTAATCAGGAAGTACGCAGAGTACCAACCCACTCAGGTAATAACACGTGATGGCACATACAGTGGGGAGAACAAGTATTTGATACACTGCCGATTTTGCAGGTTTTCCTACTTACAAAGCATGTAGAGGTCTGTAATTTTTATCATAGGTACACTTAAACTGTGAGAGATGGTATCTAAAACAAAAATCCAGAAAATCACATTGTATGATTTTTAAGTAATTAATTTGCATTTTATTGCATGACATAAGTATTTGATCACCTACCAACCAGTAAGAATTCCGGCTCTCACAGACCTGTTAGTTTTTCTTTAAGAAGCCCTCCTGTTCTCTACTCATTACCTGTATTAACTGCATCTGTTTGAACTCGTTACCTGTATAAAAGACACCTGTCCACACACTCAATCAAACAGACTCCAACCTCTCCACAATGGCCAAGACCAGAGAGCTGTGTAAGGACATCAGGGATAAAAGTGTAGACCTGCACAAGGCTGGGATGGGCTACAGGACAATAGGCAAGCAGCTTGGTGAGAAGGCAACAACTGTTGGCGCATTTATTAGAAAATGGAAGAAGTTCAAGATGACGGTCAATCATCCTCGGTCTGGGGCTCCATGCAAGATCTCACCTCGTGGGGCATCAATGATCATGAGGAAGGTGAGGGATCAGCCCAGAACTACACGGCTGGACCTGGTCAATGACCTGAAGAGAGCTGGGACCACAGTCTCAAAGAAAACCATTAGTAACACACTACGCCGCCATGGATTAAAATCCTGCAGCGCACACAAGGTCCCCCTGCTCAAGCCAGCGCATGTCCAGGCCCGTCTGAAGTTTGCCAATGACCATCTGGATGATCCAGAGGAGGAATGGGAGAAGGTCATGTGGTCTGATGAGACAAAAATAGAGCTTTTTGGTCTAAACTCCACTCGCCGTGTTTGGAGGAAGAAGAAGGATGAGTACAACCCCAAGAACACCATCCCAACCGTGAAGCATGGAGGTGGAAACATCATTCTTTGGGGATGCTTTTCTGCAAAGGGGACAGGACGACTGCACCGTATTGAGGGGAGGATGGATGGGGCCATGTATCGCGAGATCTTGGCCAACAACCTCCTTCCCTCAGTAAGAGCATTGAAGATGGGTCGTGACTGGGTCTTCCAGCATGACAACGACCCGAAACACACAGCCAGGGCAACTAAGGAGTGGCTCCGTAAGAAGCATCTCAAGGTCCTGGAGTGGCCTAGCCAGTCTCCAGACCTGAAACCAATAGAACATCTTTTGAGGGAGCTATAAGTCTGTATTGCCCAGCGACAGCCCTGAAACCTGAAGGATCTGGAGAAGGTCTGTATGGAGGAGTGGGCCAAAATCCCTTCTGCAGTGTGTGCAAACCTGGTCAAGACCTACAGGAAACGTATGATCTCTGTAATTGCAAAGAAAGGTTTCTGTACCAAATATTATGTTCTGCTTTTCTGATGTATCAAATACTTATGTCATGCAATAAAATGCAAATTAATTACTTTAAAATCATACAATGTGATTTTCTGGATTTTTGTTTTAGATTCCGTCTCTCACAGTTGAAATGTACCTATGATAAAAATTACAGACCTCTACATGCTTTGTAAGTAGGAAAACCTGCAAAATCGGCAGTGTATCAAATACTTGCTCTCCCCACTGTACAATAACACACAGCTGTCTTTTTTGCTTTCTTTACCTGTCTCTTTCTCACATACGCTCACGCTCAAAAGTATACAACTTTATGGTCAATGAAATGGAGGAAAAGCGCACACCAAAAGTGTTTCTGCCTTAGTTATTTTTGATAACATTGTCTTATTGTTTTTTTCTCCCTTTAGATTCGCTATTTTACACTCCATAGCACAAAGTACTACTGGAACGATGAGGTCCAGAATTTTGAAGTATTAACGTAAGCAATTTAACAGACCAAAATTATAGCCAGTGACCTGGATACTTTCCAAAATGGTTTACGTAATGCGTATCCAAGCAAATGTGTTCTAATGGAGGTCTCTTTTCCCTTCTTTCACTCACACACATCCATCCGCACACACATCCATCCGCACACACATCCATACACACATCCATCCACACACACACACCCACACCCATCCACACCCACACCCATCCACACACACACACCCATCCACACACCCACCCCATCTACACACACACCAACACACACACACACACACACACACCACACACACACACCACCCACCACCACACCACACACCACAACACACACACACCACACCATCTACACCACACACAACACCCACACACACACCCATCCACACACACACACACATCCATCCACACATACATCCATCCACTCACACACACCCATCCACACACACACACACACATCCATCCACACACACACACCCCACAGGGGCCTGGAGGACCTGGAGGTGACCTGTTCCACCATCCACTCAGAGCACAGCACGGGGCTCACCAGCAACCAGCAGGCGTACAGGTAACTTATACCAAACACCTTGTACAGAGTGGAAGGCCATGATGGTTTGAGCAATGTGATGTGTTGAGGTTAAATTCACCCCATAGGAATGCTTGGTTTTGTTGCATTAGCTAAGTGGTCCTGATACCCGCTTATTTTTTATTGTTACTCTATTACATTTAACCCTGCCCTTCCTATGATAGATTCATTACCCCCATCCCCCAGTGCCAGACTTCACAATTGAAAGCAGATACTGTTATACCACTGCAGGCCACAGCAGCCTCTTTGTCACCTTAGACGACCAGACTTCCAAAGCCCAGTCACCTCACAAAGCCCTGACAACACCTTATAATAGCCCTACTGGGTGTCATTCCACTCAGAGCTGGCCTACTGTTCCCCATGTGTCACTCACCCAGGAGGGAGGGAGGGAGGGAGGGAGGGAGAGTTTGTGTTTGTGACTCTGACCTACTTAATGTAGTACTGTCAGTGTCACACCTTATCAACGGTTTTATTAGACAGTTTGTTATAAAGTGGAATGAGTTGTTAGTGTTTGAACTGTAAATGTTGAACCTTTGTTCTCTCGTGCTTTCCCACAGGAGACTGTTTTTCGGAGTGAATGAAATTGCAGTGAAAGTGCCTTCAGTTTTCAAGCTGCTAATCAAAGAGGTAGGAGAGGTTTTGGGTGTAAATGGGAATGTGTTCATACCCACTTCTTAAAGGATGCTTGATATTCTTACCATAGCTCATTTTCAATTTTCTCTGAGAACTACTTGATAATATAAGCCTATATGAATTATTTACATCCAAAGGTGCCTATGGAAATCAATAACTAATTTAGCTGAGATAATGATCAAGATAATGAGAATGTGCCTGGCATTCTAATGGGAACATTCTGTTGAATGGAAGCCAACTAGGCTTTAAGCTTTTCTGACCGGCCAGATTTAGATTCTGAGTTGTTGCGGGGAGGTTGTCTTTAGTCTAATGAGTGAACACTGTGAACAGGGCCAACAATGGCAGTAGAAACAGCATTTTCCACCTCCGCAGTTCCTCTCAACTCCTTATTGTTTGTCTATCTCTCTGATGTCTCTCTTGCTCTCTTTGACCTCGCGCTCTTTGCGACAGTCTCCGTCTCTCTGTCTCTGTGTCTTTCGCTCTGTCTGTCTTCCTCTCTCTCTGTCTGCTATACTTTCTGTATAAAGAAACAAATTGACGCAGATGTGTCAATCAAGATATTTCACGTTAATTTAAACCCTTTTCACACTATTGAGCCAAACCATGACAGATTATGGTTAGCCTGCTATAGGGCTTAATCAGGCATTATTCTAGTGGCTGTCAAAATGGATGCCTTGTTGCAGCTTGTTGTTTTGAAGAAGTTGTTTGACATACCTCTTTCTTTCCCTCCCTCCCTCCCTCCCTCCTCTCTCCAATCCTTCTTTCTCGGTAGGCTTTAGGACGGGAGGGTAGGGAGGGAGTGAGGGAGTGAGGGTGAGGGATGGAGTGTCGTTTGGCGGTGGAGGGGAGGCGATTTCTGTAGTTTCGAGTTCGTTATTTTTCTTTATTTCTGTCTTCTTTGTCTTCTTCTTTCTTTCTTTCTTCTTCTTTATTTCTTTCTTTCTTTCTTTCTTTCTTTCTCTTTCTTCTTTCTTCTTTATTCTTTCTTCTTTCTTCCCCCTCCCTCCCTCCCTGCGGTCCTCAACCCTTTCTACATCTTCCCGCTTCTTCAGTGCTGATCCTGCATGGAGCGCTGACGAGTACTACTACTATGCCAGCAGCCATCGTCTTTATGTCGGTCATTTCCATAGCTACCTCGCTGTACACCATCAAAAAGGTATGTCTGCCACCGCCCCTTGAGCTCCTCTATGCCTTGTTCTCTTTCTTCCCTTTCTGACTCTCTCATTCCCTCTCATCCACCATCTTATACCTTCCGCCATTTTGAAAAATGTATTCAATAATCAAAAGGTGAGTCTGGGGCCTTGCTGAACTGGCCAGAACCAGGCTGAACTGGGCTAATTTGGACTAAGCCAGAGTTTAGCCCCCTCCCCACTCTAGGGCCCTGGGTTCACCCCCTTACAATCACACTGCATTAATAGATAGATGGAGGGAGGGAGGTGAAGGGGTGGAGGCTTCTCCCGGGGCCCTAGGTTTACAGAAAGAGAAGGAGAAAGCCCCCCTTAGAATCACATAGCATATGGAAGAGGGAGATAAAGAAGAAGGGAATGGATGGAGAGAGGGGGGATGGCTGGATGGGTCTTCTCTGGAAGTCTTCTCTGGAACTTTCAAGGGACATTGAGAATCTATTAACCAGAGGCCTGTTTTTGTAGCGCCTGATGTGTGGTTCTGCTTATTTGCTGTTCTCCTTCTTTTCAGCAATACGTCATGCTTCATGACATGGTGTCAGCACACAGTATTGTCCGAGTTTCAGTCTGCAGAGCCAGCAACGGTTTGTCTAATATACCTCACTAAGATTTCATTACATTTGACTAGTGTTCAATTCGCCACTAGAACGGCACACTTTTCCGTGTGTGTGTGCACGCCCACAGCGGGCTCAGGCTGTGCATATGATGCCTCAGCACTTTCCCCCTGCTGCCCAGAGGGGCGTGAGTAATGAGAGATGTGCTGAACAAGACTGGGGCTCTGACGCACAGAATACCTCTCTTTTCTCCTCCTCTCTTCCCTCCACTCCTCTCTCTCCCACTCCTCTCACTCCCTCCCTCTCCTCTCACTCCCTCCCTCCCTCTCCTCTCACTCCCTCTCTCCCCCTCCTCTCACTCCCTCCCCCCCTCCTCTCACTCCTCCTTCCTCTCACTCCCTCCCTCTCCTCTCCCCCTGTCTCCACACCTACTCTCCTCCCCTCTGTGTTGAATCCTAATAGACATCGAGGAGGCCCTGTCCACTGACCTGGTGCCCGGCGACGTCATGGTCATCCCTAGCAACGGGACCATCATGCCGTGCGACGCGGTGCTGGTCAGCGGCACCTGCATCGTCAACGAGAGCATGCTGACGGGTGAGACTTGGAGATTCTGCCTTCTCTCGCTCTTGCTCACTCTCTGTCACTGCTGGACACTTTCCAAATACAAAATTCTAAATTATATTTATTTTACATTTGTGCAAAGCCTCACACAACACTACACTCTGTAAATACTTATGCAAGGCATCAAAGCTCCCAGACTCACCCTCAGTCTCCCCTCCCCCCTCCTGTCCCTGTCTCTTCCTCCTCCCCCCCAGGCGAGAGTGTGCCAGTCACCAAGACCAACCTCCCCAACCCGGGCGAAGGGGACAAGGAGGGCGACGGGGCCTACAGCATGGAGGAGCACAAGAGACACACCCTCTTCTGTGGCACGCACGTCATCCAGACCCGCTTCTACTCAGGGGAGCTGGTCAAGGCAGTGGTGGTCCGCACAGGTTAGCCGTGGGTGTCCGTCCGTGTCCTCAGTCACAACACACTCAATATACCTTTTCACATTTTTGTACGATCATGATCTGCTCTTCCATAGTAAAATAAGTCAAATAAGGAGCATTTACCATATTCTGAATTTAGCCGTCTAAACACTCCCCCCCCCCCCCCCCCCCCCCCAGGTTTCAGCACGGCTAAGGGCCAGCTGGTGCACTCCATCCTGTACCCCAAGCCCACCGACTTCAAGCTGTACCGCGACGCCTACCTCTTTCTGTTGTGCCTGGTGGCTATAGCTGGCATCGGCTTTGTCTACTCCATCGTCCTCAGCATCATGAACAATGTACTGGGCCACACCGTACACTATACTCTCACTGGGCTACTGCTAGGCTGGGGAGAAAGACAGGGTAGAGGGAGAGTGACTAGTCCTATAGAGGCTGTAGAAGGTGTCTAGGTCACAGTGGATTGTGGTCAAAGCATTTCATTGGAAAATGGAACAAAAAAGATTTTTATGTCTATTTAGCTTCACGTCCAATTCCTACATTAACCCCTGTTGTATTGGCATTTTCTCCTTGCCTTCTCTACTGTACCCCAGGTGCCAGCCAAGACCATCATCATCGAGTCCCTGGACATCATCACCATCACCGTGCCCCCTGCGTTGCCCGCTGCCATGACTGCAGGCATCGTGTACGCCCAGCGCCGCCTCAAACGCATCGGCATCTTCTGCATCAGCCCCCAGAGGATCAACATCTGTGGCCAGCTCAACCTGGTCTGCTTCGACAAGGTGGACACACACACACATACACACACACACACCTACCTCACACATTGGTAGAGGAGAGGCTGTGCTTGGGAAACTAGTTGTGGTCTGGTGATCTGATATGGTAATCGCCCTGCTCAACAGTTAGTGCTGTATATTTACTTTAAAGAAAGGGTCATCTCCCCTATTCACTATTTCTGTGCTTCTCTCCTCAGACGGGTACACTCACAGAGGATGGATTAGACCTGTGGGGAGTCCAGAGAGTGGAGAAGGGGACTTTCCACCTGTCAGAGGAGAATGCCTACAAGGACACTCTGGTCAAGTCCCAGTTTGTAGCCTGCATGGCCACCTGCCACTCTCTTACCAATATCGATGGCAAGCTGTCCGGAGACCCTCTGGATCTGAAGATGTTCGAGGCCACAGGCTGGGTGAGTGACTGAAACTTTACCTTTAACCCCTAACCTATGTGTCCTTCACTCTTTCTTTACTCAAACAATTTGTTTTCATGCTCAGAATTGTTGACTCAAAATATGGTAAACAAGTTGCTTTGAGAGATTTTCCGGCCTTCTATTTTCGGAACATATATTTGCTTCCCCCTGACTTTCAATGTTGTTCCGATCACACTTATGGTATCCATTTTGAGATGCTGGTAAGTTGAATTCTCGACTTTCGATGCCGCTTAGACTTTCTCACGTTGACTCCTCTCCTGACGGTGTCTTCTCTGCTACCTCCTCTCCCTGTCAGATCCTGGAGGAGGCCACTGAGGAGGAAACCTCACTCCACAACCGTATCATGCCCACCGTGGTCCGGCCCCCCAAAGCAGCTGATGCCCCCTGAGCCCGTCATGTCACCCGAACAGGACATGGTACGAACAGGTTACCCCTCCTGAGAGCAAGGCTCAGTGCTGCCCCCAATGGACACCCACCATAAGCATTGATCACGTCTCCCTCATCACATGTTGATTTTGTCTGTTGCTGTTAGCTCTTGGTCATGTGTAAACGTTTAAGTTCCTTCATGTTAATCATAGTTCTGAATGGTACCTGGGTTTTATATGTTCACATTCTATGGACCTCTCGCATTCTTTGAAATGCACTGTTTGATTGTACATTCACTCTGTTTACTTCACTTTCACATTGTAGGAGCTGTATGAGTTGTCGGTAAGTAGTGTAATCTCTCATGTTTTTAATATTTATTGTAGATTTACTTAGAGGTGAAAGATCTGGAGGTGAAAGGTTATTGTGTGTTGTATCTCCATGCAGTCGGCCTATGAGATTGGGATTGTGCGTCAGTTCCCCTTCTCCTCGGCGCTGCAGAGGATGTGTGTGGTGGCCCGTCTGCTGGGGGAGAAGCGCATGGACGCCTACCTCAAGGGGGCGCCAGAGGTGGTGGCCAGCTTTCAAGTGTAAGAAAAGCCCACGTTTCAGGTCTCTTTAATTCATTTACTCAATGAATTTGACTATCACTGTTGCAGACGGTCTATCATGAGATCTATTACGGTTCGTATAGTAATGATATACTGCTGCTACTGAATTTTTCGTCTTGCTCTAACCAAGTGAGTCATCGACCCTTCTCTGTTCATCCTCTCTGCGTGTTGATCTGTCCCAGCCAGTCAGTTCTCTCATGCGTCTTGCTCTTTTCCTTCTCTCTCCTAGAGTTCTGCGCCATCTCCGCTCGTGTCTCTCTCTCTCTCTCGCTGTCTCTCGTCTCTCTCGTGTCTCTCTCTCTCTCTCTGCTGTTCTCTCTCCTCTCTCGCTGTTCTCTCTCTCCCTCACTGTCTCTCTCTCTCTCGTCTTCTTCTTCGCTTTCTTCTCCTCTCTCTCTCGCTTGTCTCTCTCGCTGTCTCTCTTCGCTGTCTCTCTCTCTCGCTGTCTCTCTCTCTTCGCTGTCTCTCTCTCTCGCTGTCTCTCTCTCTCTCGCTGTCTCTCTCTCTCTCTCTCGCTGTCTCTCTCTCGCTGTCTCTCTCTCTCTCGCTGTCTCTCTCTCGCTGTCTCTCTCTCTCTCGCTGTCTCTCTCTCTCTTGCTGTCTCTCTCTCGCTGTCTCTCTCTCTCGCTGTCTCTCTCTCTCGCTGTCTCTCTCTCTCTCTCGCTGTCTCTCTCTGTCTCTCTCTCTTGCTGTCTCGCTGTCTCTCTCTCGCTGTCTGTCTCTCTCTCGCTGTCTCTCTCGCTGTCTCGCTCTCGCTGTCTCTCTCGCTCTCTCTCTCTCTCTGTCTGTCTGTCTGTCTGTCTGTCTGTCTGTGTAGTTCCAGAAGACTTTGCAGAGGTTCTGGAGGACTACACCAAGCAGGGCTTCCGGGTTATCGCCTTGGCCCACCGCCGCCTCGAGTCCAAACTCACCTGGCACAAAGTCCAGAATGTCAACAGGGATCACATCGAGGCCAACATGGAGTTCCTGGGGCTGATCATCATGCAGAACAAGCTGAAGGCTGAGACCTCCGGGGTACTGGAGGACCTCCGCAGGGCACACATCCGCACCGTCATGGTCACTGGTGAGAAAGCTGGCACATGCCCATGTTTAACATATAAACAGACATTCAGTAACACACAAAATGTATCCTCCCTCCCTGGGAAGTAATCACTGATCGGATTTGATTGGATCTGTGATAACCATGCAGTAGACTTGCATGCCAATGGTCTTGGATCAGTGAGTTTCATTTTAGTATTAGTACAGGGCCCTTGCTTCAGGTATTAGGCCATTTTATATGTTTTATTTATATGCCATTTAGCAGACGCTATTGTCCAAAGCGACTTATAGTCATGAGTGCATACATTTTACATATGGGAATCAAACCCACAATCCTTGCGTTGCAAGCGCCATGCTCTACCTACTGAGCCTTACAGGACCACTATCAGACGTCATTCTCTAATGACAACCACTAGTGCCCATTCATACTGTAGCAATGCCTCACACACAGATAATGTGAGGGTGGCTGTGAGGAGCTTGGGGTTTTTGTTGTGGTTCTCAAAGCTTGGTGGAGGTATTCCTGGAATCCTGACTAATAAAGTTCTGGGTCTTGCAGCTTAACGGGCAGAAAGCTCCAAAGGCCAGCCCGGTCTCTCTCTCTTTTGCGCTCTCTCTCTCACTCTGTCGCTTTCAGCACTGTAAATGTAATCAAACAATCAGATAGCATTTCGGCGCCCGCCAAGTCCAGAGCCAATACGTGCATTTTGGCGCCCGCCAAGTCCTTTCATGCGGACCGCTGGTCCAGAGCCAGTACGCGCAGGCCCCGCCCTCAGAACAGCCTCAATTCGTCAGGGCATGGCCTCTACAAGGTGTCAAGTGTTCCACAGGGATGCTGGCCCATGTTGACTCCAATGATTCCCACAGTTGTGTCACGTTGGCTGGATGTCCTTTGGGTGGTGGAGCATTCTTGATACACACGGGAAACTGTTGAGCATGAAAATACCCAGCAGCGTTGCAGTTCTTGACACACTCAAACTGGTACGCCTGTCACCTACTACCATACCCCGTTCAAAGGCACTTATATATTTTGTCTTTCCCAATCACCCTCTGAATGGCACACATACACAATCCATGTCTCAATTGTCTCAAGGCTTAATAATCCTTATTTAACCTGTCTCCTCCCCTTCATCTACACTAATTGAAGTGGATTTAACAGGTGACATCAATAAGGGATCATATCTTTTACCTGGATTCACCTGGTCAGTCTGTCATGGAAACTGTGTTCTTAATGTTTTGTATACTCAGTGTAACATCTCTCCTCTCCTCCAGGTGACAACATGTTGACGGCCATCTCGGTGGCCAGGGACTGTGGCATGATTCCCCCTCAGGACCAGGTCATCATCGCCGACGCGCTGCCCCCCAAACATGGCCAGGCGGCCAAGATCACTTGGCGCTACGCAGACAACACTAGCAAACACGCAGGCATAGCCCCACGCCTGGAGGTGAGGGTCCCCTGGTGGTGGGTGTGGCTCATTACAGCTCCGACAGACAGACAGACAGACAGGACAGACAGACAGACAGACAACCACACACACGGATCCCCCTCAGAGCCATGCAGGAAAACATCAGAAACTCAGAAATAGCCCAGTGACCACACACAGCAGGAATGGATGAGGTCACACAGCCAGCCAGTCATTGTGTCAGATTGTCTAGATGCTATCAGGGATATGAATATTTAGTGGCATACCTTGAGGTCTCCACATCAGTTAATATGGAAACTGAAGTTATTAGTCTCTAGCTTGAATGATTATTAATCTACATAAGCCATGTTGTACCATTCAATCATTTGCAAAACGTCATTCTTCCCTTGCTCACCTGCACCTGCTTTGCCCCGCCCCTTCCTGTCCCAACAGGAAGTAGAGATCAGTCTAGAGGATATGCGTCACACTCACAAGCCTCAGGACCAGTACCACTTTGCTATGAGCGGCAAGTCATTCGCTGTCATCACCGAGCATTTTCAGGACCTGCTGCAGAAGGTAACGGGACAGAAGTCACTGTAACACCACCCCTCCATTCCCCAATAAACACAGCTACTGCTGTTGTGATTTGGTTGTCTAATGCATTGTTGTTGACCTATCTGGTGTAGTTGGTGCTGCATGGCACAGTGTTTGCCAGAATGGCCCCCGACCAGAAGACTGAGCTCATAGAGGCACTGCAGAGTGTGGAGTGAGTAGAACATTTGTTGACACAAATAGTGAAAAAATATTTCATTAATTACATTTACAAACAGTAAATTATCTTCTCTTTCCCCATCTGCAGTTATTTTGTAGGCATGTGTGGAGACGGCGCAAATGATTGTGGTGTAAGTACAGACCTCTTTGAAAGCATGCAGATAGAAGTAAAGACATTATGTCATTCCTTTAAATTTGCTTAATGTTTCTTTCGACTTTCTACCCCCTCCTCACCCTTGCTCTCCAGGCTTTGAAGAGGGCTCACGGTGGGATCTCTCTCTCTGAGCTGGAGGCCTCCGTAGCCTCTCCCTTCACTTCCAGGACCCCCAACATCTCCTGTGTGCCTAGCCTCATCAGGTAGGCCTTCCTTGGGCCTCGAGCATCAGCTGAACATGGCTGACAAACTAACACCAGCCTACTGCCAAGCTAAGAGGCTAATCAGTCAGCCTTATAAACTTGCATGCTGACTCACTCGTTTATGCCTCCATAAAAAACGACTATTTCTCCACAGAGAGGGGCGAGCGGCTCTCATCACCTCCTTCTGTGTGTTCAAGTTCATGGCCCTCTACAGCATCATCCAGTACATCAGTGTCACCCTTCTCTACTCTGTGAGTACAGTACCCCTCTCTTAGTCTCTGCACTCCTGTCAGGAGATTTCCTCAGAGATCCTATCAAATATGTCATTCTATGGATTTACTCTCTGGCGTATACAGTAGCTGACCTCTGACCTTATCTCTCTGTAACCCTGTCAGATCCTCAGTAACCTGGGAGACTTCCAGTTCCTCTTCATCGACATCGCAATCATCCTCCTCGTAGTCTTCACCAGTAAGTAAAGCAACACCAGTTAGATTGAGCTTTATGTTATCGCAAAGTTCACTTTTTGATGCTGCAGACATTATACTTGTTTGATCTACTACCAACTTTGCTTGGTTTGTACTTAACTCTCAACCCATTCGATCTTCTGGTTCCGTACTTCTCTCTCTTTCTCTCCCACCTTCTCTGTCCAGTGTCTCTGAACCCAGCGTGGAAGGAGCTGGTGTCGAGGCGTCCCCCCTCAGGTCTGATCTCAGGCCCTCTGCTGTTCTCTGTGCTGACTCAGATCCTCATCTGTCTGGGCTTCCAGACCATTGCCTTCCTCTGGGTCCGACACCAGGACTGGTACCACATCTGGACACCACAGTCCGAGTGAGTCCAAGTTCAACCCCCAAGATAACTACTGGACCTATTGAAAACACACCATTGGGAGGATAGCAGTAACAATCTAGAATCACCAATGAATCACCAATAAGACAACAGTTCCAATGCAAACACACCAATAAGACACCTGTAACAAAACACCAATGAGACAACAGTACCAGACTCAAAACAAACCAATAAGCCAACTGTAAACACAGTAATATCATTAGCCGTGAATGTCTTCCTGTATGTCATTACCGCAAAGAGTAGGGACATTGACAGTCAGCTTTTGACTTGTAAAGCTGCTTTGTGCTAAATATCTCTGACTGTGTGTGTGTCTGTGCGCCCTGTGTGTGTCTCTCCTCTCCCAGTGCCTGCAACTCGTCCCTCCATGCCAACTTCTGGCCAGAACACAACTCCTCAGAGGAGAGGGACGACCACAACATCAAGAACTACGAGAACACCTCCCTGTTTTACGTCTCCTCCTTCCAGTACCTCATCGTGGCCATCGTCTTCTCCAAGGGAAAGCCCTTCAGACAGCCCAGCTACAAAAACTGTGAGGATCACTACTTACACCAATGTTCCCCACGTACCTTAGTGTTGGTTCTAAAATTGGTTTGAGATTGGTTGGAAGTGCACCATTGTGGTGAGTATTCTTTGCTGTGTGACTGACATGTAGGTTTTATCGTTTCTCTTTCCGTCTCTGCAGGGCCTTTTGTGGTGTCATGTATTGGCCTGTACATATTTCTGTTCTTCATCATGTTTTACCCTGTGTCTGCTATCGATGAATTCCTAGAGGTGAGTGGACGTCAACCACGAGAGACAAGCTTTATACAGATATTAGCCTCAAGCTTCGGTTGAATTGGGTCCTACAATAGTGACATTGTGAATGTGCTCTTGTGAATCTTTCTCTTTTATTTTTCGATCTAGATTGTGTGTGTTCCGTTTCAATGGAGAATCACTCTGTTCTTCATCATCATAGCCAATGCAGCCTTGTCTGTCTTAGTGGAGGTAAGATACACACACACACACACACACACACACACATACACATCAGAGAGATGTGCGCTGTTCTTTTTTGCAGTATTCTGAGCTCTCTTTACCCCATGTTACATAGGTCATTTTCTCATGTACAGTTTTTGTTTTGTCATGCAATGTTTTCATCAGTGGTGCTTAGGTTCAGTCAGGTGGTGCTGGATTGTGTGTTGACTGTGTCCTACTGACCGACTGGAGAGTGACTGTGGCCTACTGGAGAGTGACTGTGGCCTACTGGAGAGTGACTGTGGCCTACTGGAGAGTGACTGTTGTGTGTTGACTGTGACCTACTGTCGCAGAATGTTAACGGATGAAGCTGAGGGCTGAGACAGTGTCTGTCTGTGACGTACCATTTGACTACCTTTTCATTATGAGAAAGCCTGACACTGCCTTGTCTTTCATCGATGTAACCCAATGAAAAGAAACTCTAACATTAGCGGACACCACACAACGGGTGAGTATCCAGGAACACAAAGAAGAAGGAACATTCTATTTCTAGATAGATCTGATATTTATTGACGGGACATACAAAAACAGGCTTACGTTTCGGCTTAATCGCCTTCATCACATAATTCCTACCTGTAAATACAACCTGCAATCACCACAGTGACTGTCACACTGTAAACCACTCATTAAATCTAATGGGTGGTTGGTTACGCACCCAGTTCCTTTTCTCTCTCAATCTCCAAGTGTCAGAAAATGATGACCTTGAGCTTTGTGGCCCAATGATAGATGGCTCACCAGTGATTTACTATTAGAAAATGCCTCTGGCTTGCCCTGCACAGTAGAGCAGAAGCACTACAGAAAGTATTCACACCCCTTGACTTTTTCCACATTTTGTTGTTACAGCCTGAATTTAAAATAGATTAAATTTAAGAAAAAACATTTCACTGGCCTACACGCAATACCCCATAATGTCAGTGGATTCTTTTTTTTTCTTGTTTTACAAATTAAAATAAAATGGAACAGCTGCAATGTCTTGAGTCAGTAAGTATTCAACCCCTTTGTTATGGCAAGCCTAAATAAGTTCAGGAGTAAAAATGTACTTAACAAGTCACATAAGTGCATGGACTCACTGTGTGCAATAATAGTGTTTAACATAATTTTTGAATGACTACCTCATCTCTGTACCCCACACATACAATTATCTGTAAGGTCCCTCAGTCGATCAGTGAATTTCAAACACCGATTCAACCCCAAAGACCAGGGAGGTTTTCCAATGCCTCGCTAAGAAGGTCACCTATTTGTAGATGGGTAAAAATACAAAAAGCAGACATTGAATATCCCTTTGAGCATGGTGAAGTTATTAATTACACTTTGGATGGTGTATCAATACACCCAGTCACTACAAAGGTACAGGCGTCCTTCCTAACTCAGTTGCCGGAGAGGAAGAAAACCGCTCAGGGATTTCACCATGAGGCCAGTGGTGACTTTAAAACAGTTTGCATTTAATGGCTGTGATAGGAGAAAATTGAGGATGGATCAACAACATTGTAGTTACCCCACAATACTAAGCTAATTGACAGAGTGAAAAGGAAGCTTGTACAAAATATTACAAAACATGCATCCTGTTTGCAACAAGGCACTAAAGTAATACTGCAAAAAATGAGGCAAAGCAATTAACTTTTTGTCCTGAATACAAAGTGTTATGTTTGGGGCAAATCCAAAACAACACATTACTGAGTACCACTCTCCATATGTTCAATCATAGTGGTGGCTGCATCATGTTATGGGTATGCTTGTAATCGTTAAGGACTAGAGTTTCAGGATTTCAAAAAAACAAAATGGAATGGAGCTAAGCACAGGCGAAAACCTGGTTCAGTCTGCTTTCCACCAGACACTGGGAGATGAATTCACCTTTCAGCAGAACAATAACCTAAAACACAAGGCCAAATCTAAATTGGAGTTGCTTACCAAGAAGACTGTGAATGTTGCTGAGTGGCCGAATTACAGTTTTGACTCAAATCTGCGTGAAAATCTATGGCAAGACTTGAAAATGGTTGTCTAGCGATGATCAACAACTTGATAGAGATTGAAGAATTCAGAAAATAATAATAGGCAAATATTGTACAATCCAGGTGTGCAAAGCTCTTAGAGACTTACCCAGAAATACTCACAGCTGTAATCGCTGCCAAAGGGGATTATAACATGTTTTGACTCAGGGGTGTGAATACTTAAGTAAATGAGATATTTCTGTATTTATTTTTTCAAATATTTGCTCAATTTTCTAAAATCATGTTTTCACTTTGTCATTATGGGGTATTGTGTGTAGATGGGTGAGAGAAAAACATATTTAATCCATTGTGAATTCAGGCTGTAACAATAAAATGAGGAATAAGCCCATGCACAGCTTAGCAGTGACACAAGATGATGCTCTCTCCAAAGCTGCCAACCTCTCACTCCCCAACCAATGACGTTCAATGGTTAATCACCAGCAACAGATCTGTCACAAAACAAAATCACAACAAAATCCACTTTAAAAAGCTTCTGTTGTAGATTTAGATAACTCGCACAGCCCTGAAATCACCCTAAATGTCCTTTCAATAGTTTGACTATTCAAAAAAACAAATGTACAAAATCTTCTTGAGAAAAGCTGTGTGATCAGGTAGCGACTCTACTCTTTGTAATTATTTCCTGCCCACTGCGCCTATTATTCCATAGACCCTCGTCCTTGACGTCGTCTTATGGAAGCTTGTCTTCAGCCGAGACAAGCAGGGCAGCTATGGCACCACACACGGCGCTCCAACAAAACAGGTTGGGAATTCTGACGCGCCTCCTCTCTTCCACCGTCGCTTTTCACCTCCCCCTATGCCCCCCCCTCCTTCTTCTTTCCTCTCCTCCTCTCCTTCTCTCTTTTTCAGTCACCCAGCACTCTTTCTATATAACCTCCCCAGACCTTGCATGTGCATACCTGATTGCTCTCTGCCTCCTCTCTTTCGCCCCCTGGTTGGTCTCCTGTGTTATTACTCATCTGGGAGCATGATTGCCCCAGTCTTCACTCCTGTCTATCTAAAGTTCCAGCATTAGTACAGACGTTGCTCCGGTAAGCTCCCCAGGTTGCATGCACCTCACTGTAAGCCGCTAACAGAGTGGAAATAGCATGGCCTAGATCAGGTATGTATACACTGCAGGCTAGCTGAGAATGGTATGTCCCACACATTGTGTGACTCTTGGCCTCCTTCCATATGTAGCAGGTAAAATGTGCTCCAATTTCCAATTGCAAATAGTCACACTTACCTTTTTTGTTGAACTGCGGTATCTTAGCTTGTCTGCTTGTTTTTAGGTAATTCTCTGACAGAAAAACATCGATCCCCAAAACGTATTGCCATGCTGGACGTTAATTTGAATGGCCTAAGAACATTTTCTGTTGAGGGGAAAGTTCCCCAGGAAATGATTTAATTGTTTCAATTATTAACCAAAACAATGTGCATTTGCAATAAAGTGAACCAATCTGAATCCCATCGCTACCTTCTTTTGGTTATGTAGTGCATGTGATATCATTCTACTGTCTAAAGGCATGAAAATAAAAATATATAATTTAAAGGGATCAATTGGAAAGAGAATAAATGGGGAAACCTATCCATAGAGGAATAAAATATTCATTGTTTTCTTTTCCCTTTCCCACCATTCTCGTTGTTGTTATCGTTGTTTCCAGGGGGGCATTGACCTCTGGGGACCCAAGTGTCTGTCGTGGCTGTGCTGCCGGCGAAGGAAGGTACCCAAGGCGCGCTACATGCACCTGGCCCAGGAGCTTAGCGTGGACCCCGACTGGCCCCCCAAACCCACCACCACCACCGAGGCCAAGCCCCTGCTGCCCGGTAACCCCCCTGAAAACGGCTCCTCCTACCAGATCATGGCCGACTCCTAGCACCCCCCCGCCCCCCACTTTGCTAAAGCAGACACTCACACATACACACACACGACCAAAAGGACAAAAAGAAACGGTGGTCTATGGAAAGAAGGAGGAGAAAGCTAGGGTGATGGTAGAAAAATGTTTTGGGGTGAAGAAGTGGTAGTGTGGAGCTCTCCATGCTCTTTGTTGCTCAGATCCAGCACACTGTTCAGACCCTGGCTGATCTACGTAACCCTCACCAACCAACACCCCCTGGTATACAATTGTTGGTCTACTACACAAATACACCCCCAGGATGGTCTACTCTATATCCACCCCGCCTTCTCCTCCACAACCTCAGCTGGTCTACCTGCAGTCCAAGAGTCCATGTTTTCCACAGGCTGGGTCCTGTGGCAGTCAGACCCCTTTGTCATTATGAGTTTAATCATTGCCTCACTGCTTTTTAACCCTTGCAGAAATATGCAGCGAACTGACAAACTCCAATCTTAGTTTTAAAACGATAATGATTTCTACAATTGTTATTGCTGTCGCCGTGATTCCTCCAGGAGCTCCAGATCTTCTCCCATTTGCGTTTGTTTGTAAGCAGCCACCAGACATCTCCACTAACATGGTCATCATACAGGGGACTTGAAGCATGGATGTGCATGAACCTAGCTCCGTATAGCCATTGTTATATGGTGGTTGGAATACTACTGCTTACCCAAAAGTACTGTAGTATTAATATTGCTGAACAGTGACCAGAACCTTTTTGCATTATGAAACGAGTCACAAGGCATAACAAGGGGCAGAATGCAAACAGATTGGAATCATGGGTAGCAACAACCCCCATGCATTGTATTACCATTTGCAAACTGCACAGTCAAAAGAAAAATCAAAGGGCTAAAACTCATTGTCCATCAGAGGAGGCTGCTGGGTAGAGATATGACGACGTGCTCATTGTAATGGCTGGAATGGATGAATTAATTTCATTCCAACCGTTACAACGAGCCTGTCCTATATCTCCGCCCACCAGCCACCATTGTTATCCTTATATTTTCAATACAGAAAATGTACAGTGTGCATTGCTGTCCACCCTCATGTGTTGTACATGTCATATTTTCTGCCAGTCAGTTGTGTACTTCATAAGCCTGTCTTTCTCCTCATAGTAGCAGGTCATCACATAATGGTCAGATCCTAGTTTGTGTTCATCTGATATTTTATTTGATGACATCCAAAATGTGTTTGTGTCAGAATTGCCAAAAACACAGTACTGAGGGGTATCGCTCGAATGCTAGTTCAAATCTTTAAAAATAATGTATTTACATGGTGTTAAAGGTCCAATGCAGCCGTTTTTATCTCATTATCAAATCATTTCTGGGTAACAGTTAAGTACCTTACTAACCAGGTTTACATCCAACCTTTTTATGCGAGTAAAGTACATGTTGGATAAAAAATGTCTTGACAGGCCTGATGGAAACCGATAGACAACGTGGGATCTTTTTGTGTCTAAAATGAATTATGTGGAAAAAAAGGTAATGCTTTTTTTGCGCAAATATTGATATAATAACCATCATATCAAAGTGAACTTGGAGTCACGCGATGACGTGTGGTCCTCCCACTATGACTCATCAGGAAAGCATGCAGTTTTAGGTTACAGATAAAATAAATGATGAACTTCACAGGGTGGGGAAAGTGCAAGGTGATTTGCTTAATTCTCCTTTCCAATAAATATCGAGGGTCTTCATCTGGTGACATGATAATCGATGCTTGGCTGCCGTTTGACAAATAAAAATAGTCTTGCTCTTTTGTCCATAATAATAATCTAATGTAGACTATATGTGCGCTCTAAGCAAAAATGGCTTCTTAGAAAATAGCAATTTCGCAAGCAAGAGTTTTGCTAGGACTGTCTGGGAGTGGGGAGTGGTCCGAGTGGGGAGGGGAAAACTGAGAATTAGCTGTTATTGGCAGAGAGGTTTTGACCTCACCAAAACAGGCTGAAATTTCAGGCAGTCTTTTCAAACAGCTCTTACACTAAATGGTTATCATTTTCACAAGTTCACAGTATTATTCCAACCTCAGTGTGGAAATATAAAACATAGAAAAATCACGTTTTTGACTGCACTGGGCCTTTAAAGCAAAGTGTTAACTTATCTTGTTTTAAATTTCTGCATAAATCACTTTTGTTTATTTTTCAGATTCACATTTCAATTTCAAGAATGACAAAAACAGATGTCCTAGTTTACATGATTATATGCTCAAACCTTACAGATCTCTACTAGGCCTATATTGTTCCTGATTTTTTAAGTGTTGGTAATATGACACAGGTGTATAGAGAATGCAAAGTAGAGCGAGCATTCTCCAGGAATATCCAGCAATATTGGTCGTTGACAATATGACCAGGGAAAAAAAGAGTACATTCACCTGTGTCTGCAAACCAACTCTAGATTGAATCCGTGACAATTCTGCTTTTAGTAAAGGTATATTTACTCAATGTTTCTGAATAATTATTTACATTGGTGTTGGTATTTTCTTCTGTTGAGAGGATCTTTCCTAAATATCTGCACAAGATGCAGATTGCTATTTTCAGAACAAAATGTTAATTGTAATTATTTAAATTCAAAATGACATTTTTGTTGCGTGATTATAGAAAACCAAACATTTTGTGTTTCCCAAAGAGTAAAAAACATTTCAATACATGTTTAAATGGTTGTAAACAAGTCACATCTGTTCATTTTAATTGTACAAAAAAATGGGACTACCTGTGTATTTTTTTTAGATGTACATTTACATTATTTGTGTTTAAATGCATCTTCAAAAAGATTGTTTAGAGATGTGCTTGAAGTCTGGATTATGCATTTATATCCAAGGGCTGTAGTGTTGCTTTCTATTCTTGGTACTGTTTTGTCACAATCAGTGGTCTGTACACTTTTTTTTGTTGTAATGTCTGGATTTCTTTCCAGTGTTTTGTCACTATCAATGTTACAGAACAAGTGATTCTATGTGTTTATCATCCTGAATTAGACATGAGTCCATTGGGCATTTCTATAATTATTTAAGCCAATGATGTTGAGGTGCAATTGTCTGATACTATAGGGCCCTCAAACTCAACTTTGGACCTCAAAGCCAGTTCCCCTTATTTTTTTTCATTGTTCCCCTCTAATCAGGGACTGATTTAGAACTGGGACACCAGGTGTGTGCAATTAATTATCAGGTAGAACAGAAAACTAGCAGGCGCCGGACCTCATAGGGAAGGGGTGTCAAACTCATTCTAGGGAGGGCCTAGTGTCTGCAGGTTTTTGGTTGTTCCTTTCAATTAAGCCCTAGACAACCAGGTGAGGGTAGTTCTTAACTAATTAGTGACCTTAATTAATAAATTGATTACAAGGGAGGAGCGAAAACCCGCAGACACTCGGCCTTCCATGGAATGAGTTGGACACGTGTTGTAGGGTAAAAGTTAAATACCCCTGCTATAGGGCTTGTGACCTAACCAGGGAAAAACTGGGCCCTAGTTATCTCTAAAGCATGGGTGTCAAACTCATTCCATGGAGGGCCGAGTGTCTTCTGATTTTTCCTTTCAATTTGTCCAATTAAGACCTAGACAACCAGGTGAGGGAAGTTCCTAACTAATCAGTGACTTTCATTTATCAATCAAGTACAAGGAAGGAGCGAAAACATGCAGACACTCAGCCCTCCATTAAATGACTTTTGACGCCTGTGCTCTACGACCAATATAAAGTCATGTGAGAAATATCTTCTCAGTACTCTCTGAAAAGAGTTACCATGAATCTAACGATTGAAATAAGGGATTCCATGTAATTCATATATTGGCACCTCAGCTCGACAAACACTGTTTCTGGGCAGAAATATTCTAACCATCTTTAGCTGAATGTTAGTTTTCACTAGCACCCGTCACGTAAAACATGTTAACAATGCTTTGAGTTTTATATACGCTGTCTGTTTTTTTTGTAAAATCTCAGTGTTACAGGCTGAAGAATGTGCATTGCTGTGGATATCGTAACCTGTATTCTCGCTCTCGTCTAGAAGGGATAATTTTGCTGCTAGGGGAACGATTCAGTCTCAACTGTCATAATGACTCACCTTAATGCTTCAACTTTGAATCAATAATGATAACCCAAAACCTGCAAATAGTTACTCTGCAAAATTATACTTCCTGTTTTTCCCCTCCACAAAGTCATATTTTACCAAGATACGGCTAAATCAAAGCGATGAAGTGTATGCTGAAATTCTAAGGTACATTATACCGCCTGTTGACATCTCTAATCACCTGCTTTTTATTTAAGTGTTTGAAACAAACCATTAAGAGGCATTTAGAACATATCAGCCACTAAGTCTGTAGAACTTCCAGTGGAATTGTTTCCTCAGGGAAATGTGTGTATTTGTAACGAAGAGAAATACAATTAAGTTAATTACCTAACTGAATTAAAAACAAATCCTGTTGGTAGACATTTTATTACAGTTCTCTTGTATGTTGATTGATTGTTGTGCTACAAAATCCAATCTCCCAACCCTTAAGAGGCTTCTGAAAAAAAAGAAAAAAAATTGTACTTGTAATTTATTTTTTATTTATTTGTATTTCTTTACTGAGGATTGTGTTTAATTTCTTTTGATTTATTTTTTATTTTCAATAAATGTGGTTGTCAAATAAACAGATCTATTTTTTGACTACATTTCAAGTTAAAAAAGTATACTGAACAAAAATATAAACACAACATGTAAAGTGTTAGTCCCATGTTTCATGAGCTGAAATAAAAAATCCCAGAAATGTTTCATATGCACAAAAAGCTTATTTCTCTCATTGTGTTCACAAATTTGTTTACATCCCTGTTTGTGAGCATTTCTCCATTGCCAAGATAATCCATCCACCTGACAGGTGTGGCATATCAAGAAGCTGATTAAACAGCATGATCATTACACAGGTGCACCTTGTGCTGGGGACAATAAAAGGCCATGCTAAAATGTGCAGTTTTGTCACACAACACAGTGCCACAGATGTCTCAAGTTTTTAGAGAGCGTGCAATTGGCATGCTGACTGCAGGAAAATGAAATGTTAATTTCTCTACCATAAGCCACCTCCAACATTGTTGTACCTCCAACTGGCCTCACAACTGCAGACCATGTGTAACCACGACAGCCCAGGACCTCCACATCCGTCTTCTTCACCTGTGGGATGGTCTGAGACCAGCCACCTGGACAGCTGATGAAACAGTGGGTTTGCACAACTGAAGAATTTCTACACAAACTGTCAGAAACCGTTTCAGGGAAGCTCATCTGCATGCTCGTCATCCTCACCAGGGTCTTGACCCGACTGCAGTTCGGCGTCGTAACCGACTTCAGTGGGAAGATGCTCACCTTCAATGGCCACTGGCACCCCTGAGAAGTGTGCTCTTCACGGATAAATCCCGGTTTCAACAGACCACGTGTATGGCGGTTTGCTGATGTCAACGTCTTGAACAGAGTGCCCCATGGGGGGTTATTGCAAACTATAACGTTGCCACCCAGAACCATATCTCGCTTGGATTTAACATTGCTAAACCGTGTGATTATGGTTTTAATAGACATTTTCATAAATTCCATGGTGTTATATTGTCTGATTAGTAATAAAAAGTAAATAATTTAACACATCAGGAGCTAAAAATATTAAAAGATGATACCAATATTATTCATATTAGCCTAGTTGCTGAGAAAGTTAGGCTACATTATGTAGTCAAAATTCTGGAAAATAGCAAATCTCATAAAAACAGCGCAGAAATGTAGGGCTCTATTCAAACCGCATCATGTTCCCGCTGTAGTGGAGACTGCATTCACGGTAAATGCTGCAATTTATCCAGAACGCTGCAGCCCGTCTGGTGTTCAACCTTCCCAAGTTCTCTCATGTCACCCCGCTCCTCCGTTCACTCCACTGGCTTCCAGTTGAAGCTCGCATCTACTACAAGACCATGGTGCTTGTCTACGGAGCTGTGAGGGGAACGGCACCTCCTTACCTTCAGGCTCTGATCATATCCTACACCCAAACGAGGGCACTACGTTCATCCACCTTTGGCCTGCTAGCCCTCCTACCTCTACGGAAGCACAGTTCCCGCTCAGCCCAGTCAAAGCTATTCGCTGCTCTGGCACCCCAATGGTGGAACAAACTCCCCCACGATGCCAGGACAGCGGAGTCACTGACCACCTTCCGGAGACACTTGAAACCCTACCTCTTTAAGGAATACCTGGAATACAAATAAAAGTAATCCTTATACCCCCCCTCCCCTCCCCACCCACCCATAAAATAAAATAAAGTGGTTGTCCCACTGGCTACCATAAGATGAATGCACCAATTTGTAAGTCGCTCTGGATAATGGCCTCTGCTAAATGACGTAAATGTAAATGTAAATATGTCGGCTTAATTGGAACTGGCCATTACATTTCTATCGCGGAATCTGTAACGCTTCAACTTTAGGCCGGGATTCTAGTGTGGGACCAATGGCTCAGATCGACTGATCTATTGTCCCCTCCCCGCCCTGAAACCTGAAAAAGCCAGTGAGATGTCTCGCTTATGCCGGTGCCAGAACATATCAGTTGGAAGGGCCTTTGATTTCCATAGGCGGGCATGTTTTTTCAAGGGAACTCCGACGCGTTCAAAATGTTTTAAATGGGTGTAATAGTAAAGACCATAGGCTGCTTGTGAGTTTCAAGTTTGGGGAAGCTTACAATTTATCCTACCATTTCTACCAATCTGCGTGCCAGTTATGATTATTTTTATATGCGCATTTTTGTGGAACCGTTTCATTTCAATAATAAGGTTTTCGTTTCTCAAAATCATTGTCACGTGGTTAATCATAAAAATCTGAAGTAAAATGATAATCTAAAAGTTAAAATTCAACTATGGCGAGAGCACTAGCCTCTGCCACATGGACACATTGATACACTGTGATCCATTGGAGGCTAAAGAAAAAGAGCATAGAACTCAGAGATAGCCTATATGCTATAGATAGCAGTAGGCCTATAACTTCCATCGTCAACTAATTAAAATACATGGGCCTTAAACCCACGAATAAAAACAGTAGAAAATATCCTGATGAAAATTCTGGTTCTTTCAATCACATTCATCTCTCTACTCCGGCTGTCTGCCTCCCTTTCTATCTGTCTTGACTTGAGCAATTGCTAGTGAAGTGCACCATTGTATCAAATCATCACTGGATCCGGCCCGAAGATGTCACTAGCGAACTTGCAACACTGTATCAACTAGCCATTTCCAGGCCCTCAGTTTCCTGCACCAGTGAGCTCGGGACAGACAGCTGTTTTTTTATTAAGTTTCCACTGGATATATGGGATCGTCAGATCATGATATTTTGCTCTTTCACACGGCTTGGTGATTATCGAGGTCGGGAATGTTGGAAAGATTTTTCAAATACTGAGGAACTATCATTCGCAATGAATGTTAAAAAAAACAGACTTCGTTGACTTGTGTGAGGCGAATAAAAGATTACTTAGAAGCTCAGTTTATTAGTGGTGTACGTGGTGAGTTAAGACGATCAGAAATCAGACATTATCCAATTGGGCACTTTCCTACATATGCATGCATTCTGGAAAGAGACGCACCTAGCAAAACGGAGAACACCATAGTATTCGTGAGTCTCATCTTTCAATAGAGGGGTCAAACTGTTCGGACGCTACAGACGATGTTGTGAGAAGACAGATTTTTGGGACGTCTCATGGTCTGACAAACACCGCCCTAGCTCTGTCACCTTTCACCACAGATGCGGAATTGCCACATTGGCGGATGCGGTGGATTCAGACGCCAATGCAAAAAACAAAAAGATATCTCTAGCTTAAACTGACAGATTTTTTATGGGGATTTTTTTACTATGCTAATTAGACTTTATGGGGTTAAAGACAATTATTAGCTAATCACACTTTAGTATGACAGCCTACATTTGGTGTAATTGGTATTACAAAAACAAAAAAATAGTATATAAAAAATGTAAACCATTTAACAAAATAAAACAATAGTATAAATACAATTTAAATAATTTTTTCCCAAAATGCCATGCCCAAATTCCACCGCAATTCAAGAATGACCCAGGTACATTGACAGGAATTTGGGATTCAGAAAACCTTCAAATCGGTCACCCCTCTACTTGTTTTGGTAAACAGCTGAGGGATGGTGCTGGAGAGATCTAACCACTCTCAAATTAATAGACAGAGGCTAAAATGTCCCGAGCTGGCAGGCTGTCAGCTGTAAGGTATGGTCTGTGGTGCAGTGGAGAGGGACCGTTGGCGCCTGGCGGGAACCCAATCGTCCTCGGAGCCCTTCGAGGCTGTCCGTACACGGGGGGCCAAGCCATCCAGGAAGTCCCTGTGCTGCTGTGTGACGGCCTGGGACAGCAGGCTGGGTAGGGCCTGCAGACTGACTAGGAGGGAGTCCAGTTTGTCGTCCAGACTACCGATCCTCCTATCCAGCTCCTTGCTGAGCCGCTGCAGGTCAGACACCAGGTCGTACATCATGTTCTGAGTCTGTGGAGCAAAAACGGTGTGTCAAACTCTTATGATCAGTGTTTAGAAAAAAATCTATAAATTAGAGATGATGATGAAGGTGCTTAGTCACCTTGGCTAGATCCACAAGTGTATTAGCCTGGTCGATGAGTTTCCTCTGTTCCATTTTGACTCTGCGCAATCTAGGGGAAGGTGAAGTGGGAGAGGGAGAGAGTTATGGAGAGAAAAGGTAAGGGTTATAACATATACCGATACACACAAATCAACTAATCTTTATTTAACAACGGTTTGAAAAGGCACACTACTTACTGGTGAATGGCTTGCAGGAATTTCCTTTGATGTTTGCGTACCCTGGCGTGATCGATCTTCTTGACTAATTTGGTGTGTTTGTAGATGAGCCATGTCTCCCTGAGTACATTGGCAGCTGTGTTTTTCACCTGTGGGAACATTCAAGAAAACAGAGACATGACAGACTGGCTGACATGGCAGACTGTCACAGTGGACTGCCCTAGCAGTGGAGTCTGTCTTGCCCATAGATATAGATAGACTAATGCTCAAAAGCCTGTTAGCATGGGCAGCGCCATTGAGGACTTTCACCATTTTGAAGTAGTCAACTGGACTTCCTATGGGTTAATGAATGATGATAATAATTCCATCCAGGTCACCAGGGGGATCAGCCAATTAATTATACTTGTGAGGAAACATTCCATAACTGCAGGTGGAGGTAAATTGCCAACCTTGGCTTTATTCCTGTTCAAACAACACACTCTTGGTGGCAGTGTGCACCCTTTCAGTTTGTTTGCCAACTCATAGAAGTAGTAGAAGAAGAAAATGGACTACTTCGAAAGCCTTCTACTAATTGGATAGTAATGAAGAGGACAGGATTATGTTCACAAATTGAATAGGTGATGTCACCAGGCATGGCAAAACTCCATCCCACCAAAACAGCAATTACACTAAAAGGGCATTATCATCATTTTCACAATTTCCCAGTATTATTCCAACCTCATAGTGTGAAAATATATATAAAACACAGGAAAATCACGTTGTTGACTGCACTGGTCCTTTAAACCTGCCCTTGGAACTGAAAATGAACATGCCTTCAACATTAGACAAATATACCTTTTCGACAACATTTTGCTTATTGGGTTGCTGATTGGGGGCATTATCTTTTTTTATAATGTCTATTTATAAAAAAGTTGTTATTCGGTATGTATCAGGTTTGGGTAGTAAATCCACAGGTCCAGTTCAGGTCAGGCACAACTTTTTGTAGCCATGAAGACCTCTAATGTCAACTTACTCGTTTGTAGAGCTGAGAGTCTATCATGAAGTTGTGAACGTGCTTCTCAGCTCTGGTCAACTCTGACTTCCTGGCAACTACCGCAACCACCAGGGCAGTGCAGCCGGCCCCCTGGGGAGAAAAGACACAGGCAGTAATATTTTCAAGAGTCGTTATATATGATTTATTCAATATTATAAACTGGGTGGTTCGAGCCCTGAAAGCTGATTGGAAGACAGCCGTGGTATATCAGACCGTATACCACGGGTATGACAAACATTTATTTTTACATTTCTCTTGGGAATACTTTGGAACAGATTTCCAAAATGAAAGTCACTTGGAGCTAATTTGATGGTGTTTTTAGTCTTTTGTCCAACAAAATATATATATATTTTTTCTCAAATCATGGAGGGTCAAATAAAATCATCCTCGGGCCGCCCGTTGGGGAACAATGCCCTAGAGCTACCTCATCCTGAATGCCAAAGATCTCTTTTGACACTTGTGGATGGGGAATGTGTTGGAAACATACCATGATTCCAGTCAGTAGACACACACCCTTTCCACAGTAAGTGTGAGGGACCATGTCTCCATAACCAATGGAGAGAAAGGTGACAGAGATGAGCCACATGGCCCCAAGGAAGTTACTGGTCACTTCCTGTGTGTCATGATATCTGGAGGAACAAGAAACATACCTGTTATAATAAACACATGTATCTACCCACTGAGCAAAAACTGGTTGAATCAATGTTGTTTCCCAACAAAAAATCTATGTGATGACATGGAATCAACGTGGAAAACTGATTGGGTTTGCAAAAAGTCACTGACATAAGGGAATTTTGTATTTTTTCCACCCGACTTTTAACTGAAATGACGGGGTGAATTGTTTTGTTGATTTCACATTGAATTCCTGGTTAATTGATAACTCAACCAAATGTCAGTCAAAAGTAGACGTTGAATTGACGTCTGTGCCCAGTGGGTTTTTCCTACGGTATATTAACATCTTATATAATTAAACATATAGAAATGTATGAACTATATCAAGCAGAGAGGCAAAGTAGAGCCATAATCAAGACTTGAGAGGCCGTAATCTCTCATGATCTCAAATAAGGATTTTCAGTGTGAAATGTACTGGGTAGGAGTGATGCAGTGCTAGTGGAATGGCCTACTGTGTTGGGGGCGGAGCCTGTACCTCTCACAGACGCGCACTGTCCACGATGCGATGATCCAACAGGAGACGCTGAAGACCAGCAGCACGGTGCCGGGGCAGATGGTCATGAGAGTCTTCATGACGAAGCGCGTGTTGAAGTTGATCTTGTTGAGTGCGCCGATGCTGCGCGACGAGGCGTCTGTGAAGAGCTTGCTGTGCAGCAGCATGACGCGACCGATCAGGTAGAGCCTGAGGAACATGGGGATGGAGAGGACGATGTCGACGTCGGCATCGGTTACTGAGGGCGTGTAGGTGAAGGCCAGCCGGGCTGTCCAGGTGAAGACGTACTGGCCCGGAATGGGGTGGATGGCACAGACCAGCAGCTCCAGCAGAACCAGGAAGATCCGCTCATATGTCATGGCAATCCTCCAGTCATCAGCTGCATTGTCCACCATGAAGAGCTGTGTGTAAGGAGAGTAGGGCGAACAAGGGGATTTAGTCAATGGGAAAATAAGAGCAAGGGGGAAAACTGTAGTAATATTGTAGAGATGGGGATGGTGGCATATCACCTGTATTTCCCGTGTATGGTACATCATGATTAGTCCGAGTAATATAGCAGTTGAAAGGCTGATAAGGCATTTCAGAGAAAATGAGTATGAGGATTCCTACAGAGAAGACAGACAATTAAGATAAGAAATCCCCTCTTTTGAATCAGTCCTGTTTTACCAATGCTAGCTTACATTATTATTATCAATCCACTGCAATAGAGACATTTCTTACCTTCGTGTAAACCCCCCAGGACAGTTCCGTCTCCATCACCATGATGACGATTCCAAGCATCCCAAAGATCAAGGCATAGTCGCTCAACTGTTTGCGCTTTCCAAAGAGCGCCCTACGCTGGCTCAATCTATAGCCAATATCCTTGGTCCTCTTCTGTGGCGCGTCTCTTGCTCCTTCACTGTTGGCCTTACTGTTGTTCTCGCTGAAGCCTTTCGAGAACACCTCCTCCAAGACGGACCTTTGGAGTGTCTGGAGGGGCTCTTGTCTCTCTGAGTCCAGCTCTGAAAGGTTTGGTGGCGAAGCTCCAAGGCTGCTCAGGAGTCTCCCAACATCCCCACTGTATTTAGCACTGGTCACAACTGTGTCGGGAAGGAGTGGGCTACTGCTCTTGGACAGGGAAGGCGTCAATCCAACATGACCAACCTTTTTGGTATGAGGATGTACCTGCTGCTCTCTTTGTCGTTGCCTTTTTCCCACTAGATTATGGTTCTCCGGCCACCGATGGCTACCGGAAGCGTTCCTCACTCGTGGGCTGCTGCTGATGGATGGGTAGAGAGAAAACTGATGGCATTTTAGGGTGCTAAAATGATCACAACAATGCTGCCATTCAGGGTCTTGATGCTGGTGTAAGGAAGGTTGTTGGCTCCCACAATGTACTCCATCTTCATTGGCACAGCAGCTAGGTAAACCACTCCTTAACATCCATTGGTGTTGCATTTCTATGGGAGGTAGCTGCTGGTCTTGAGGTTGAGACAAAACAAAGAGCTGCCTAACTTCACTTGACTCATTGCCATTCATAGGTATATTGAGCGAAGGTTCTGGTTTTTCAGTAGTTGAGACTGGTGGTAGGTTATGCTCTTTAAGCTTGAAATGATTATGGGTCTGCTGCCATTGACTATACTCCTTCAGCCAGTCTTCTCCTCTGCATCGGGATGTGAAATGATCCTGCTGGTGATCGACAGTCTCTGTTGAGGGATCCTCTTGATTTGGTTCCTGCCTGAAAAACTGGGATGACGATGAGACCAGGGTGTTCTGAGGATAGGAGTGAGTATACTGCAAAGAAGGAGGAGTGCCCTTCTTGGGAAATGTGGAGAGGCAGTCCTTCAAGAAGCCCTGCTTTGATCGTGGCTGGAAACCTGCCAACCCTGAACCATGTTTTGTGCTAGGAGAATAGTGAACAGAGCCACAGTCCTCATCAGAACGTCCCACCGTGGTCCCATGCCACTCGGCCATGAGTGGGCTTCCACACTGCAGTTCAAGAGTACCGCCCACCTGGCTACAAAAGCGGAGGAGATCTTGATTGCTCAGTTGTGAAAGTGTAGTGCAACGTGTTTTTAATGGTGGCGATTTCCTTGGTGGAGCGACTCCATTCGGGGTAGCCAGTGGCAGAGAAGTTAAAGGGGACATGCTGTTAGTGCTCTGCTCTGGTACTGATGTTTGGTGCTGGAGGGCAGTTCCAGAGTAGCGATACTGCATGACCTCAGGGGCTTTGTCTGGTAGGAACTGCCCTCTTGAGTTGCAGTGATCGGGGTCTCGGTCGTTGCAAGCGTCTCCTGTTGAATCAAGCCGACGCGTTGCATTGGTGGGTTTGACTAGAACCAGCCTCATAATGTATAATGATGATAATGGTTTATTTCATTTCATGTGTACTATGGCAGCTAAAAGCTAAATTGCAGTAACACATACAAGGAACCACATTTAAATTAATAAAATGTGATAAAAAATAATAATCTAAAAGTCAGGGAGTTGAGGCAAGAATAGAGGTAGAGCGGTCCGAGCGGTGGAGGGAGGGGGGAGCATCTTGGTTACAGCGAGGGAGGTCGGTGGTCATATCAGAGTCAGCCAGAGACAGGTCCAGAGCCTTTAGTACACCTGATTGTCCCTGATGTCCTCAGCCTCTCCTTATGGACTCCGTAGGTAGCTGGCTAGCTACTCCTCTACACTACCAATGTGTAGCACCCAGTTGGGTGATGCCCCAGATCCGCTGGAAGCTTATCTTAATGGCTCCTGTACATTTTGAATATTTTATTCATATTTAGTTGTTTCTAAGTGTCTTTTTAATCAACTTTTTGTTTTTGTTAGTTAACTAAGAATTGATTAATAATCCAGTGATTTTGTCCAGGTTTTTCAGCACTGTGGTGCTGGAAAGTCAGTTGGGAAAATCTTGTCACTTTTAACACTGTTTACATTGATGAACTGCAAAGAGTTTGCTAGGAAGGAATCCAGATTCAAATAAAAATGTTTCCCAAAGCAACCGCTTATATTGCTGTAACCATGTGCAATTGCCAATGCATGGTGTATTACAGCCATCCAGCTAAAAGAGTGTTGCGTTAACACAAGAATAATCTGCAAGAAAGCAGAGAAAACATGAACGAATACTAAACAAAGACATTGAGTCAACTCCCTCATAAAGGTGTAAAGTGTCATATCTGATCATAAAGAGAGAATTTTCCAAGGTTTTTTAAGTGAACTAAAACCAGTGTGCACTACAGTTTAGGGCAAAAGCTAACAAAGATCTAAAGCAAACATAGGACTTCTAACAGAGACATTTTCTTTTGTGAGACTAGAGAGCCCCTGTCAAAACCAGATGAGAGCCCTTCTGATATGAATCATCCTCAAACAGGGAAATCACCATTGCTACTGAAGGGATGTAGGGCTGGCTTGAATAAAATAAACCTATATTGGCTTTAACTGGCGCATCAATGTTGAATACACTATTTACACATTTTTGCATTGCTTTTTGTTTTTGTTTGTACTCTTAATATTTTTGTCGTTATGTAGCCTTGTGTATTTGCCAACTGTGCTAAAACATCCACAGTACTATTTATTTAAGAAAATGATTAGAATCAATTTCACAGATTATTCATGATTCATCATTTCTGTCTCCTGTCCTACTGCACCACAAATATTTGCCCTCCACATATAACTGATAACCTATGAAAGGATTTCAGGACAAGAAACCTAGTCTAATTTATCAACCAACTACACAATATTCAAGAAACTCCACAAGGAACTGGTTAAATCCAATTGAAGTTATTGTCTTTAAACTAAACCGTTATCGACCCTCTCTTTGCTTGCTCAAAAAATGTATCCAATCGTGTGACCCTTTAAGAAAAAGAAAAACTCTTGCATGTATTATTGTCATTTTCTCTGCTCTATCGACCCAAAGCATGAGAGAGAACTGACCAGACCAGTAGTCATACCCCATAGCCTGGAGACTCTTACCTTATTCCTTCAGATCCATTTGTCTCCCTGTCCTTGTAGAAATCCAGACACAACTTGGAGGTGATCTTGGCCAGTGCCGGGGAAGGGCACCGCTCGAAATGCTTCTGAAGTGGGAGCCAGACAACAGACAGGCTCTTCTTAGACAGGCTCTTCCTATACTTGAGATAGGTCCGCTTTCCTTTGAAAGTGATCATTAGGATTCAAACTGAAGAAAGGGCAGCTGCTGGGCTTATTAAAGGCTTGACATGCAAATAGAATGCGAGACAAAGCAACAGGATACAGAAAGGGGTGTGACATCGAATCTAAGCAATAAGGACCACATCACAGATCACACATACATGGACTCAAAGCAGGCCCATAAATAGCTAAAATAACTATTGGTTCTTCAAAGCAGAATTTTCAATTAGCGGTCAGAGAAACTTGTCATTGATGCTTCATAGTTCAAAGGCCTACACATGGCCTCTTATCTCCTCCGTCAAGGACAGACCATACAAAGCCTTTTTCTTATTCATCTTTCCTCGATTCCTCACATGCTCTCTCCTTCTCAAAACTCATTGGGGAAAAAGGACTCAGGGTTAGGACCTTGGATCTTCTTCCCCAATACACTTGAGAAGGAGGTGATGAGATAGGATGCGAGGAATCGCAGAGACAAATTGAGATGGGGTCAAAGTGTCTTATCTGCTCACGAATGAGACCACCAGAACATCATAATAAATCTAAAATCTGTGACACACTAGAGTACTCAGACTTGTTCTTAATTTATGTTATATATCCTCCTGACACACAGTTTAATATTAATTATTGAATCAATAACAGGGGAAGTTTGTATGTTTGTAATAATAATCCAAGCTATCTGCTCAAATCCAACGTCCTAATTTAAGGTTAGGTTGTGCCACATCACATTTTTTTAGGGAAAAGGTTCCCTTACCCAGCTCTCTCGACCTGGCATCGTTTTATATAAGAATAGCCTATATACAGCTATTACTTCCTTATGTGTCTATCATATATACAGCTGTCATAAATGAAGGCTCTTGTCCAAAAGTGACTTTGGTTTTTGCCATAGCAAGTCATCATAAAACATCTGATCTATACTGAACAGAAATATAAACACAACTTGTAATATGTAGGTCCCATGTTTAATGAGCTGAAATAAAATGTTCCAGAAATGTTCCATACTCACAAAAAGCTGATTTCTCTCGAATGTTGTGCAAACATTTGTTTACATCCATGTTAGTGGGCATTTCTCCTTTGCCAAGATAATCCATCCACATGACAAGTGTGACATATCAAGAAGCTGATTAAACAGCATGATCATTACACAGGTGCACCTTGTGCTGGGGACAATAAAAGGCCACTCTAAAATGTGCAGTTTTGTCACACAATGCAATGCCACAGATGTCTCAAGTTTTGAGGGAGCATGCAATTGGCATGCTGACTGCAGGAATGTCCACCAGAGCTGTTGCCAGAGAATTGAATGTTTATTTCTCTACCATAAGCTACCTCAAACGTCATTTTAGAGAATTTGGCAGTACGTCCAACCGGCCTCACAAACGCAGAACACGTGTAGCCACGCCAGGCTAGGACCTCCACAAATGCATTATTATACTGAACAAACATATAAATGCAACACGTAGCAATTTCAACGATTTTACTGAGTTACAATTTATATAAGGAAATCAGTAAATTGAAAAAAATTCATTAGGCCCTGATCTATGTATTTCACATGACTGGGCCTGGCTCCCAAGTGGGTGGGCCTATGCCCTCCCAGGCCCACCCATGTCTGCGCCCCTGTCCAGTCATGTGAAATCCATAGATCAGGGCCTAAATATTTTTTTTTGCAATTTACTGATTTCCTTATATAAACTATAACTCAGTAAAATCGTTGAAATTGCTGCATGTTGCATTTATATTTTTGTTCAGTATAATAATGCATTTGTGGAGGTCCTAGACTGGCGTGGGTACATGTGTTCTGCGTTTGTGAGGCCGGTTGGAAGTACTGCCAAATTCTCTAAAATGACGTTGGAGGTGGCTTATGGTAGAAAATAAACATTCAATTTAAATAATGCATTTGACAACATACACACTGCTTAATGCAGTCATTGAATAATGTATACATTCTTAAACGTATAGGCTTAATATGTGTTATTTTATGCTTAATGTAGTTCTAGGGTTGAGGGCTTTAACTCAATGGATACCAGTGATAGTCTCTTACCAACCAAAAGAGACTCTGAAGGTTCAAAATCATGGGTGGAGTTATGACATTTGAATGAACAATCATATTCACTATTATAATTAAACGATCATAATACATTTTGACACCCAGCTACTTTCAAGAAGCCAGTGAGGTAAAGCTACAAACATTTCCTTTTAGTAATACATTGTGGTCACACACTTTCAAACTGGTGGCAGGCAACGTTAAAGACTGCAGTGTGCTTGGTCAGCAGGCTACCGTTTGAATGTTGCTGTGCTGTAAAAAAAAAAAAAACGTTATAGAGAAAGGCAGCACAGAACAAATAAATAATTGCCAAGCATCATCAAAGCTCAATGTCTATTGTGTTCCAAGTGAATTGTAGTATAAATGTGACACAAATTAATAACATCAAAAGGCAGTTGATTTCACAGCAAATTTATTGGTCAGCCTCAGCTACAACGTTCATTGGAACTAAAAAGGAACACTACCTACAGTGGCTTGCGAAAGTATTCACCCCCCTTGGCATTTTTCCTATTTTGTTGCCTGACAACCTGGAATTGAAATGTATTTTTGGGGGGGTTTGTATCATTTGATTTACACAACATGCCTACCATGTTGTGCAAAAATACATGTTGTGCAAATATTTTTTATTGTGAAACAAACAAGAAATAAGACCAAAAAAAAAGAAAACTTGAGCGTGCATAACTATTCACCCCCCCAAAGGCAATACTTTGTAGAACCACCTTTTGCAGCAATTACAGCTGCAAGTCTCTTGGGGTATGTCTCTATAAACTTGGCACATCTAGCCACTGGGATTTTTGCCCATTCTTCAAGGCAAAACTGCTCCAGCTCCTTCAAGTTGGGTGGGTTCCGCTGGTGTACAGCAATCTTCAGTCATGCCACAGATTCTCAATTGGATTGAGGTCTGGGCTTTGACTAGGCCATTCCAAGACATTTAAATGTTTCCCCTTAAACCACTCAAGTGTTGCTTTAGCAGTATGCTTAGGGTCATTGTCCTGCTGGAAGGTGAACCTCCATCCGAGTCTCAAATCTCTGGAAGACTGAAACAGGTTTCCCTCAAGAATTTCCCTTCAAATCATTCCTTCAATTCTGACCAGTTTCCCAGTCCCTGCCGATGAAAAACATCCCCACAGCATGATGCTGCCACCACCATGCTTCACTGTGGGGATGGTGTTCTCGTGGGTGATGAGAGGTGTTGGGTTTGCACCAGACATAGCGTTTTCCTTGATGGCCAAAAAGCTCAATTTTAGTCTCATCTGACCAGAGTACCTTCTTCCATATGTTTGGGGAGTCTCCCACATGCCTTTTGGCGAACACCAAACGTGTTTGCTTATTCTTTTCTTTAAGCAATGGCTTTTTTCTGGCCACTCTTCCGTAAAGCCCAGCTCTGTGGAGTGTAGGGCTTAAAGTGATCCTATGGACAGATTCTCCAATCTCCGCTGTGGAGCTTTGCAGCTCCTTCAGGATTATCTTTGGTCTCTTTGTTGCCTCTGATTAATGCCCTCCTTGCCTGGTCCGTGAGTTTTGGTGGGCGGCCCTCTCTTGGCAGGTTTGTTGTGGTGTCATATTTAATGGTGCTCCGTGGGATGTTCAAGGTTTCTGAGATTTTTTTATAACCCAACCCTGATCTGTACTTCTCCACAACTTTGTCCCTGACCTGTTTGGAGAGCTCCTTGGTCTTCATGGTGCTGCTTGCTTGGTGGTGCCCCTTGCTTAGTGGTGTTGCAGACTCTGGGGCCTTTCAGAACAGGTGTATATATACTGAGATCATGTGACACTTAGATTGCACACAGGTGGACTTTATTTAACTAATTATGTGACTTCTGAAGGTAATTGGTTGCACCAGATCTTATTTAGGGTCTTCATAGCAAAATGGGTGAATACATATGCATGCACCACTTTTCCGTTATTTTTTATTTTTATTTTGTGTATGTCCATTACATGAAATCCAAATAAAAATCCATTTAAATTACAGGTTGTAATGCAACAAAATAGGAAAAACGCCAAGGGGGATGAATACTTTTGCAAGGCACTGTATGCATAATTATTTGGATCAGAGGGTTTTGACTATTACATTCTACAGTAACAGTATTTTCTTACACCTGTATGGTATTAGCATCTATAACAGTATTGTAGCAGAGTAAAAGGCATGGCTACCACAATACTGTATTCCTCTATAAACGGCAGCAGCTGATTCCACCTTATAAATATAACATTGATATATCTTCTAGATAAGCAACTCATTAACTATACTGAACAAAAATATAAAAGCAACATACAATTTCAATGATTTTACTGAGTTACAGTTCATATAAGGAAATCAGTCAATTTAAATAAATTCATTAGGCCCTAATCTATGGATTTCACATGACTGGGCAGGGGTGCAGCTATTGGTGGGCCTGGGAGGGCATAGGCCCACCCACTTGGGAGCCAGGCCCAGCCAATCAACAAAAGGGCTTTATTACAGACAGAAATCCTCCTCAGTTTTATCAGCTGTCCGGGTGGCTGGTCTCAGAGGATCCTGCAGGTGAAGAAGCCGGATGTGGCGATTTATGGTAAAGAAATTAACATTAAATTCTGTTGCAACGGCTCTGGTGGACATTCCTGCAGTTAGCATGCCAATTGCACACTCCCTCAAAACTTGAGACATCTGTGGCATTGTGTTGTGTGACAAAACTGCACATTTTAGAGTGCCCTTTTATTGTCCCCAGCACAAGGTGCACCTGTTAATGATCATGCTGTTTAATCAGCTTCTTGATATGCCACACCTGGCAGGTGGATGGATTATCTTGGCAAGGAGAAATTGTCACTAACAGGGATGTAAACAAATATTGTGCATTGGAACATTTCTGGGATCTTTTATTTCAGCTCATGACACATGGGACCAACACTTTACATGTTGCCTTTATATTTTGCTCTGTATAAATGGATGAGGATGTGAATGTCGTCTGATGAGTGTCATCCAGTGTTAGAGAGTACGAGTGTCACATTCAGGAGCCACTGGGAAACAAAGATGAACAGAGCGATAGGTGTTGTCACATGGATGAGTTCCAATTCTCCTTTTCCCATAAATTGACTCCCCGTCATGGATGTAAAAGCACTAGATTGGTGCATTTTAAATACCCATTTGTGCTAAGTTATCGTGCATAAGTGGTGGGTATTGAGACACTTACCTGCAGCTCCTAAAACACAACTGACAAGAGATGTGTTGAGCTTTATGCTTTTCATAAATGAGATGGTGTTTCTACATTTACATTTACATTTTAGTCATTTAGCAGACGCTCTTATCCAGAGCGACTTACAGTTAGTGAATACATATATATATATTTTTTTATACTGGCCCCCCGTGGGAAACGAACCCACAACCCTGGCGTTGCAAATGCCATGCTCTATCAACTGAGCTACATCCCTGCCGGCCATTCCCTCCCCTACCCTGGACGACGCTGGGCCAATTGTGCGCCGCCCATGAGTCTCCCGGTCGCGGCCGGCAGCGACAGAGCCTGGATTCGAACCAGGATCTCTAGTGGCACAGTTAGCACTGCGATGCAGTGCCTTAGACCACTGCGCCACTCAGGAGTACTAAATAGGAACTCCATTCAGGAGTCTCTCAAACAAAGGTGAAAAAAATGGTACGTAAACCTGCATAGAATAATTTTTTGGTATTTGGATTTAGACGGATCACTGGAGTTGAAAGATATTTTTTTTTGTAGTCTTCTCAAATCTCACTTATGAAAAGCAATAATCTCCATACAATTCAAAGTCTATATTAAGTCTTTACTTGCTGTAACCTGCAAGCAGATGCAGAATTAAGACCTAATTTGGCATGCTACCAGGATTAGGAACAACAGTATTGATCTATTGAGTAGGTACACCTAATAAGGCCGTTAGGATGGGGAACAGGTGCCACAAGACACATTATCATAAGGAAAAGGGGCAGTCATTTCCAATGGTGCTCAAAATAGCAGTTTATAACAAGCCAGTGCTCTTACAAGTCCACAGCTGGCTCTGGTCATGATATTTTCTTGTGTGGGTCATTATCATCAAGGGTTAAAGTAAAGGCCCAGTGCAGACAACTCAGTTTCTGTGTTTTGTATCATATTGTCCAACAGCTGATGAAACGAACCCTGTAAAAGTGTGAAATGTGTCATTTCCTGATAATTGCACAGGACCTTCTAAATCATCAGGTTTGCATGGGCGGGAGTTTCGGCATGCCTGGTGAAATCACCAGGCAGTAAATTAGACAAATAACAATGAGTTCCAAACCTCTCTGACAATAACAGCTAGTTTTGAGTTTTCCCCTCCCCATTCAGACCACTCCCAGACAGTCCTAGCAAAAAAATAATTTCACAATTTTAATGGAAAACTAGTACAGTAACATACTTAATTGTAACCCAGAAATTGTGATATTTATATAAAAACAGCTGCATTGGGCCTTTAAAGGTGGCGATTACTATAGGCAAGAGTGCAGACCACATTTGACATTTTTGTAATTTAGCTGACGCTCTTATCCAAAGCGACATACCTGTAGTCTCACTCTCAGAAACAATTAGATGCTAGTATTGTGAACTGAAATAAATTATTTTAAATCTCAAACTTCTGTCACACACCCTCCCATTTTCAACTTAAGTGGCAAAAACTGATAATGGGAATAAAATCCATAAACCGCTGAGATGCTTCACAAGTGGGAATGCACAGTAACAGAAAATCAAAAGGATGGGGGGGGGGGGGGGGGGGGTTGCTTTTCCTCTAAATGAAACAAGCTGAAGTCCCAAGGCGATTCCTTGCATCAGAGGTCCTTCCTAGGGAGTGAGTGCAGCTTTTCCAGCAACGCATTCATAATGGGGGAATAATTATAGGTTGGAGGCATCTTCCATTGTAAGGGCCAATGTGCATAGGTAACAGTTTTGTGTTAGCTGCTGCTGGAGTTGGTTCACTTGGTGTTGTAGTTGGCAAAGCGCTGGTTCAGGGGGTTCTCTGGTGACTTCATCCACTCCTTTTTCAGTTGCTGCTTGAGCTGCGACAGCCGCATGTTGGGGTTCTCTTTTTTAAGGAGGGGCATGTTCAGCTCCTCGTACGCGGCGAACGCTGCCTTCACCCTGCGCTCGGGGTGGCGGTCAAGCTCTTCAGCCATGCTGGAAAAGAAAAAAAGAGTAGAGGGCTGAAACTTGGCTATCTTGACTTCTCTCAGTTTAGCTACTCCATGGAACCCCATACTTGTTATACCTGTCATGCCTGCTTCATCTTTTATATAGCCTGGAGTACGGAAAGTAACTTATGTTATATCTACATTGTAGGTCACACCAAACCCACTATGTTGATAACGTATAGTACACTGATAGAAAGGCTCCCCTTGTTCTCTACTGTAATCTCAACATTGCTTTTGTAGGGGGTAACATTGAGAGGTTATGCCTCTTCAGTATTCTGTACCTGAGCATAGCAATGGCATCCTCTATGGATCTAGCCTCCACTGCACCTTCCTCAGGGATGATGCGATTCACATTCTCCTCCAGGGGCGACTCCAGGTGACTCTTCTCTGTGGACACAAACATAGGAGAGGGGTAACATAAGAATACAACATAACCCAGAGAGGAAAGAGAGCCTGGTTAATGTTTAAAGGAATAATGGTCATTGCCTTTCTCTTTGGAATGCTCCTGCTGTTGTAGCTGCTGCTCGACATGCAGCGTCTCCTCAATCTGGGCCCGGGTCACTTTGCCCGCCGCCACAGCAGCAGCAGCAGCCTCCTTGGCCTTGCCCTTAATCTTTGCAGCCTCCTCATCCAAGAGCCGCTGGTTCTCCTTCTTTCTCTCCAGGGCCTCAAGGCGCTTCTTCTCCTTGTCGTCCTACAGGTTCAGAGAAAATACATTTAAAGTAAAGTCTAAATTATCAGACCCACTTCAACATATCATGGAATTACTTAGTAGATTCGCCTGGTCTGTACATACATAGCCAGACATTGGATTGTGATACAGCCCAATTTAATAGTGCTGCAGACTATTTGATCCAGTGTGAGAATAGGAAACTGAGCAAGAAAGGTCTCACCTTCCTCTGTTCTTTCTTCAGGACATGTTTATCGTTCTCCTGCCATAAAGCATCCTCCAGCTCCTTCTTCTTGCGGGCGTCTTCCACTGCTTTGGCCTCTGACTTGCGGGCCTTGGCAGTCATCGCCTTTGAGTTCTCGCCCTGGAACTTCTTCGGCATTCCTAAGACTAGGCCTACTCTTCAGCTGACACAATCAAAGTATTATTTAGACATTCTATCATAAACCAAACCAGGTGGCAAGCTTACTTACTGAGTTACCATCTAATTGAGCTATGGGCCAAAGATAACATTGGCAAATAAAATAGCTAGCTAGATAAAATAAACAGTACATAGTAGCTAGCTACTACACCAAACATACTGGTTCCAGTTTCCCAAAAGCATCTTAAGGCTAAGTTCATCGTTAGAACCATAAGATCCCACGGTTCTAATGATGAATTTAGCCTTAAAGGCCTTTGCAGACTATGTCAGATTCAGTCTTTTACGATTATCGCGTCACACTATGCGATGTTACCAAATTAAAATATTGATATCAACCTGGCCAGATTGTACGATTTGCTTCAGTTCTGTCGTCACATTCTGCGATTGGCTTATGAGTAGTAATGATCGGTTCGCGAACGATTCGTGCTTTTTTAACTACTATTTTTACTGACTCCAGAGTCATGATTCGTTTTTCTGAGTGACTCGTTCATTTTAGTCGTTCGTTTGACCTGCTAGTGCTGGCTGCAATGAGTCCTACAGCAGGACTAATACACGCTCCTCCGGCTCAGCGGCTCCATCTGAGGATGCCAGCCCATTCACATAGCTAGTTATCTGCACAGATAGCCATCTGACCAGGGCCCGGTTTCCCGATAGGGATGGAATTTAGGCTTACGAGTGTTTTAACAATGCATCTTTCCTACAACAGCTGAAGATGTAACATGCGTTTCTCAAAACACCACTCAGAGAGAACGTTCGCTAAGTGCGTTGTTGGAGCATGTGTCAATACTGATAGTATTGAAATAAAGGGAGCGCTGCTCTCAGATCAGCATTCTCCATATAAATCTTACCATAACATTATAATTATTTCACAATACTGACGACGGATCAGCGACTATTACATCTATGGCTGCAAATATTGAGGCTGCTTATTATAATGCTTTAGGCCTACCCAATAAAAAAACACTAAATTACCAATTCGGCACGTTAGGCTACACATCATGAAATATTGAGACAAATTACAGACAGCAGCCTACAAGCAGCAAAATATCAATATGTTTGAAATAATTTATTTTTAATGCAGTCATTCATTTGAAGCATATTTTTATACTTAGCTTGTTTGAATCAATTGCAAAGACATTGGCCACTTTATTTGTAGTGCACTTCGTTCTGAAGTTATCGGTAATCGGCGGTGACAGAAAGATAAATGCAAAAACCATGTGATTCTATGTTTAGCGGAGATTCGTGTATAAAGTGAAGCTGGGGGGAAAAAAACAATCCACGACACACGCTAGTTCTACGAGTGGCTGAGTCAGGCAACATTAATAACGATGGTTTTGGGAAACAGCTCGGAGACTTAATGATGCTCCTTCGAAGATTCTAACGACGAACTTTGCCTTAATGCTTTTGGGCCAGGTCACTGTCGCAGTGTAACTTGCCACATGGTTCGAATAGGCTCTTTGGACGGGAGACCATGGGGCGCGCAACATTGGCCCAGCGTCGTCCAGGTAGGGGAGGAAGGCACAGGGATGAGACAGTGTAGAGCATGGCGTTAGGGTGTGGGTTTGATTCCACGGGGGCCAGATATAGAAAAATATAAAAAAAAAAAAAAAAAAAAAAAAAAAAAAAAAAAAAAAAAAAAAAAAAAAAAAAAAAAAAAAAAAAAAAAAAAAAAAAAAAAAAAAAAAAAAAAATTAGTTAGAGTCGCTTAGATAAGAGCGCCAATAAATGTAAGTAATCAAACGGAGTTACACACTGGCTAGCAAGCAGTGATAGAAGTTATACCTAACATGTGCTACTTTAGGCAACTCTAAGGTAACCTTAGTAGCAAGCTCACAAAACATTCGACAAACGTTAACTACCTAGTATCTACCCAACATATTACAACTAACCTCACATAAAACGTCTGGCAAGCTAGCTAGTTTCCAGCTTTCATAACACTGGCTGTATAAATTAGCTAGCTACTAAGCTAACTTTAGCAAGCTTAGCCAACTAGCTAGCGAACCAGCCTGCTACAAGTTAACTAGCCAAGACCAAGATTTCAGTGTCTCGATTCGTGCCAATTGAATCTATTAACCAATGTTTAAAAAAAAAAGAAAGGAAAAGGGCTGTACCTGAGCGACAACAGATAATGTTATTTCGAAAGAGGCATCTGAGCGCCAGCCCATTGACCTATGAAATAACCCCCCTTTCGTGACAACGACGCACCGCGATGACGTGCTGAACGAAATGGCTCGTTTAAGTGACGTTCCAAACTATCCCAATCAATTGAATTGCATTTACATTTTAGTCATTTAGCAGACGCCCTTATCCAGAGCGACTTACAGTTAGTGAGTGCATACATTTTTCATACTGACCCCCCCCATGGGAATCGAACCCACAACCCTGGCGTTGCAAGCACCATGCTCTACCAACTGAGCTACAGGATTGACTTGTTTATTGGATTTACACTTTATGTGTTCTAATAAATTCTAGTTCTGGATATATATATATAAGTACAATTTAGTTTTATGATTTCCAAGCAAAGGTTTTAAAATATCAAAACTAAAAGGACTTGCTTTTCCCACCAGTTTCCCACTAGCTTGTTGATATCAGAATGATTCTCATAAAAATAAAAACAATTTATTTTCAACATACAAACAGAAACACTAGCCTACTCACTACACAGAGATTTAGAACATTTAAACAGTAAAAATTGGGGGAGCAGGCGTATCTACTTTCATGACGTCACATGAAACATTATGGAGCCAGCTGAAGAAGCTCTCCACAACGAAGTTGAGTTGTCTGGAAATGAACCTAGTCATGCATGCGCCAATGCAGGCACTACACACAGCAAACGATTAAAAGAACTGGAAAATTCTGCGTTGCAAACGACCTTGAATTCTCTACTAATGGAGACGGAATCCGCCACAGATACCGGGAGGAGGAGAGGCCAAGAGTCCGGGGAGGAGGAATATTCGAACGGCTTGTCGTCAAACGAGTCGGGGTCCTTACCACCACAAACCCCGAACCCGAGGCCTGAGGCAGTAGAAGAATCTGATACAGATGTTGCAAACGAACGAGTTGAAGAAGAAAGGACCCTTACAGACCATTTAAATAAACGTCTCCTCTCATCATTTCTTGATAAATTGAATCAAAGAGACTTGGCTCTTCCTGGTATTCAAAGCCTGGCCTGCGCTGTAGCTGACGAGGATTCTAACCGGGCCGCGGAAGAATGGTGATGGAGTTGGGAGATCTTTGGCACGAGAAAGGAACACCGACCTCCAGTATCTGATGCTATCAATGTGGACAGGCAGTAACATTAATTTCACAACAACTCAAGCTTTATTTCATTCATGCATAATACCAGCCTCGTTTCGTTTAAGATTGAGCGTCTTGGTCGCTGTTTGTCCCAAATGTATTTCCCGTCAATTTAGCTAAAAGCGGGCCAAAGACAGTGGTGACTGAATGCAAGAAAATAAAGACGTATTAGCTATGTTGAATCCTCAACAACATTCGTCAGCTTTATATTTGTTAGGCCATGTTTTGATCTCAGTGATTGAAATAAACTACACATTCTGTCCTGAATTTAAGCATGCATGTGTTTTTTCCCCCATCAATATAGAGCCTATTCAGTCATTGGCCATGGCAACATTACACAGCTAATGCATGCACAAGTTCATTGTCATATTAGACACACAACCTAGTAAATAAATTGCATAATTTTGAGATACAGGTGTTGCAACATTTCATCAGTAGCCCACTCATCCTATAAAAGTGACCTACCTTTTAATGCAAATGGATGATATTGATACATCTGATCTATTGCATAGGTAGCGCATTCAGTTAGACTATTATCAAGCTATAAAGGTGACCTACCCTGTCTAATGGTATTTCAATTAGTAAAATGATGATGGCAAAAAAGCAGAAGGTGATGATGTACTTTTGCCTCATAACTAGCCCATTAGGATAATTGATCTCAAATCCAAATAGCTGGAATAGAGCAACAATTCAAATGTTGACTTCACTGTCCAAGGCTGGTACATATTACAAAGGCTTGCACATAGCATTCATTACATCAATTCCATTAACTAAAACATTTTGAAAGCATTCTTTGTCAATGGCTTATTCTATCAGTTCTGTGGAAATTATCACTTGAGAAGAGCATCTTGTCAGATATATAACTTTCTCTTTAATTTGTACTGTATTTATTAAGGATCCCCATTAGCTGCTGCCAAGGCAGCAGCTACTCTTCCTGGGGTCCAAACAAATTAAGCCAAAAATAAAACAGTACATATAACAATATTACACCATTACATATATACAATAGAACATGTATAATACCACCATACATACGTGTGTAGAGTGCGTGTGCTAGTGTTTGTGTGCATATGCATGTGTGTGCGTCTCTTCACAGTCTGCGTTGTTCCATAAGGTGTAGTTTTATAAATCTGATTTTACTGCTTGCATGAGTTACTTGATGTGGAATAGAGTTCCATGTAGTCATAGCTCTGTGTAGTACTGTGCGTTTTCCCGAGTCAGTTCTCTACTTGGGACTGTGAAGAGACCCCTGGTGGCATGTCTTGTGGAGTATGCATGGTTGTCTGAGCTGTATGCTAGTCATTTGAACAGACAGCTAGGTGCTTTCAACGTGTCAATACCTCTCACAAAGGCAAGTAGTGACACAGCCAATCTCTCCTCTATTTTGAGCCAGGAGAGATTGACATGCATGTCATTGATGTTAGCTCTCGGTGTACATTTAAGGGCCAGAGGGACATAGGCAAATTAGTTTGATTTAAACATGTACATGCTGTGCAAGAATAACAATTTCCCTAATAATCATGTTTACATGACACTTCTGAAATCAGGCTACCTGATGGGATTTTGATAAATGCACAATATCACCAATCAAATAAATCATTCTACCACAGCGACCATGTTATTTTGGGGAAGCCTATTTGATTCTGAGTTCAGACATATACACTTTGTACGTGATAATCGTAAAAGACTGAATCTGACGTGCAGTCTGCAAATGCCTTTTTGCTGGGCATACACTATACGACTTCTAAAATCTTAGCAACTTGGATGTGCTCACATTTCCCTATTTCTTTGTCCCAAATCCTTTATTCCGTCCATCCTCAACCCAGGATGTGGGTGCTCACATTACACAATTCCTTAGTTGATCCTGCCCTGCTTTTCTCGGTTGTCGTATTAAAAAAATGCCGACACACAAACAGTGAGCTGTTCTTTTTTTTTTAAAGAGACGGAGGCGCAGAATATGGACTTAATATGAAATAAAAATGATAATATGAAATGATATTTTCGGGTTCTGTCATAATAGGACGCAGATGTAATATTGGTGGAGTTCGTTCTGCTTGGCCCGGTGCCCCAGGTGGGTGGAGATTTCACTTAAGGGCCAATGGAATGGTCTAAAATGTGGAAACTCCATGCAGCTGGCGCACCGGGCTATGTAAAACTAACTTGCCCATTGAAAAGGCAGCCGCGTTCTCTCCACAGCACCACCAATCTGTCTTCCATCACCTCGGTCTACATGGTACATGTTGTTGTTGCTATGCTCTTCGCCATTTGGTCTCACATGCTGAGTGCTCATTGGCTATTGGCAGCAGTCCTTGCCCAATCGCATCGTAGCACTGCTCATTCTACAAGATGCACGACCGAAATAGCTGACACGTAAGAAAAGTATCTGGACATCTGGCTGGAGAACGGAACAGCCATCATCAGTGCGTCCTTGACCCGCTCATACTACCCGAGTCCCGACGTACTGATCCTAGCCCAAGTTCATAGGATTTCACCCCGAGTGGCGCAGTGGTCTAAGGCACTGCATCGCAGCGCTAGCTAGCTGTGCCACTAGAGATCCTGGTTCGAATCCAGGCTCTGTCGTAGCCGACCGCGACCGGGACACCCATAGGGCGGTGCACAATTTGCCAAGCGTCGTCCAGGGTAGGGGAGAGAATGGCCGGCAGGGATGTAGCTCAGTTGGTAGAGCATGGCGTTTGCAATGCCAGGGTTGTGGGTTCGATTCCCACGGGGGGCCAGTATGAAAATAAAATAATGTATGCACTCACTAACTGTAAGTCGCTCTGGATAAGAGCATCTGCTAAATGACTAAAATTTAAATTTGTCTGGGACAGCAAAAACGTGGCAAAATTGTGTAGTGTATACCTGACAGATAACTCTTGATCCACAATATAACAGGGGATTAGGTCCAGATTAATGTAGGGATTTACTGGTGCTGAAGCTCTGGGCCCAGGCTTGTGGGGGGCCCAAGAGGAAGCAAAAAATAAATACATATAAATGAAATACACTGCTCAAAAAAATAAAGGGAACACTAAAATAACACATCCTAGATATGAATGAAATAATCTTATTAAATACTTTTTTCTTTACATAGTTGAATGTGCTGACAACAAAATAACACAACAATTATCAATGGAAATCAAATTGATCAACCCATGGAGGTCTGGATTTGGAGTCACCCTCAAAATTAAAGTGGAAAACCACACTACAGGCTGATCCAACTTTGATGTAATGTCCTTAAAACAAGTCAAAATGAGGCTCAGTAGTGTGTGTGGCCTCCATGTGCCTGTATGACCTCCCTACAACGCCTGGGCATGCTCCTGATGAGGTGGCGGATGGTCTCCTGAGGGATCTCCTCCCAGACCTGGACTAAAGCATCCGCCAACTCCTGGACAGTCTGTGGTGCAACGTGGCGTTGGTGGATGGAGCGAGACATGATGTCCCAGATGTGCTCAATTGGATTCAGGTCTGGGGAACGGGCGGGCCAGTCCATAGCATCAATGCCTTCCTCTTGCAGGAACTGCTGACACACTCCAGCCACATGAGGTCTTGCATTGTCTTGCATTAGGAGGAACCCAGGGCCAACCGCACCAGCATATGGTCTCACAAGGGGTCTAAGGATCTCATCTCGGTACCTAATGGCAGTCAGGCTACCTCTGGCGAGCAAATGGAGGGCTGTGCGGCTCCCCAAAGAAATGCCACCCCACACCATGACTGACCCACCGCCAAACCGGTCATGCTGGAGGATGTTCCAGGCAGCAGAATGTTCTCCACGGCGTCTCCAGACTCTGTCACATGTGCTCAGTGTGAACCTGCTTTCATCTGTGAAGAGCACAGGGCGCCAGTGGCGAATTTGCCAATCTTGGTGTTCTCTGGCAAATGCCAAACGTCCTGCACAGTG